ACATGTTTAGTTTTGCTGAAGTTTAGGGTTAGCAGGTTTGACTTGAACCACTCATTAAGGCAGTCAAAAGAGATATTCACATCCCTATTATATTGTAAGTTATTATTGCTACTAATCACCAAACTAGTGTCATCTGCGAATAAGACTGGTTTAATTGTGCTATTAAAAATTGTAGAAAGATCATTTATATAGAAAAGAAATAGAAGCGGACCAAGTATGGACCCTTGAGGGACTCCATGCCTGACAATATCCCAATCTGATCTAATAGTGTTGTTCGTTTCAATATCTGTTATTAGTACCCTCTGATGTCGATCTGATAAGTATGATGCAATTAAATCATAAAATCTACCTTGTATCCCATAATATTGTAGTTTACTCAACAATATTTCGTGATTCACACTATACTATATGTATCTCTGATGGAAACAGAATTTTCTTTCAAGTTTCCCCACCTTCAGCTTTCCTAAATACAAGTATTCCATGTACGTTACAGTTCACAATGTTCAGTGCCTTTGGTTAAAGAGGCGTTTCATGTGAAAGAAAGGTTATGACTTTCCAGGCACTGGCGAGAAACTTTCTCCAGATAAATAATTTTCAACCTAATCTCTTGTACACCAGAGCTGTAGAGGCTCTTATTCCATTGTTATTTTTTTTATTTTTTTGGAAAGTGTGGGGGACCAAGTTTAATAGCACTTCACTCAGATCCAACCCAAAGGATATGGGTGAAGTGATATTGAACTTACTTTTGGAGCTGAGCCCTTTTTGAGAACCCACCAATTGTGCATCCACTCAAGAATTTTCAAGCCTTTTATGGAACCAGAAGGTTCATTACTGTGTTCACAAGAGTCCTCCACTGGTCCCTATTCTGAGCCAGATCAATCCAATCCATACCATATCATCTTATCTCTCTAGGATACATTTTAATATTGTCCAACCCACCTACACCTCGGTCTTCCCAGTAGTTTCTTTCCTTATGGCTTTCCCACCAATATCCTATATGAATTCCTCGCCTCCCCTATTCGTGCTACATGCCCTGTCAACCTCATCCTCCTTGACAAGTGATATTGAACATAGATCAGAAATAGAAATAGGCTGGGGGGGGGGAAACTCTGCAGTACAAGATATCTGGTTGTAAAAGTATTTATTGCTATTCTAGTGAACAACGCATTGAAGAGGGGGGAGCACTCAAAATAGTTGCTACGTTTGCATACCTTTTTACCGATTGTGCTCTCGGCCCTGTCGGCAAGTTAGAATTTAATTAATGGGGGTGCGTAGAGATGGCAGCAGAATTGCACCGTGGTGTCATGGCGGCCATGTTTTCCACCAATAGCATGGGAGTTTGACGGGGCTGATCGAGAGCATCCGATGGAAGGGCGTTAATGCCAATTTTGTCTTTTGTGTCTTGTGCAAATTTTTTCGGGCTAGTTTGGAAGTTTATGTGAAAGTTTTAGTTATTTTACTTACGTTGGGGTGACATGTTGTATACAGTTCGATTCCATGTTTTTTGTCGTTACGAAGTTTAAGTGCTCTTTGTTCTCAGATAGTTTTCTTTACGTGTCCAGATTTTGACATATAGTTCAATGGGTTTAGGTCCCAGTTCTCAAGGCGACATGGAAGTTGATTTAGATAAAATAAGAGTGGTAGTTAAGGGGCTAATTGATGGTGATAAAATTGTAATTTTTTCAAAGACAACATGCCCGTACTGCAGAACGGCGAAGTCGGTAAGCTTTGTAGTTTGAATACTTAACGTCATACGCTGAAAATAGTGAAATATGTTTTATAATTTTTTTTTGTTGCTAGTGGGGTGGGATTAAGTCCCTTGTACTGCGGCCGCTACTGGCCTGTTGTACTAGCCCCAGATGATAGGTGAGGGTGATTGTGGAGCAATTTGTGGAATGAAGATTGGCAGGGGAAACCGAAGTACTCAGAAAAAACCCGCCGCAGCGCCACTTTGTCCACCACAAATCCCACTTCACCAGACCTGGGATTGAACCCGGGTCGCCGTTTTGGGAAGCCAACGACTAACGCTTGAGCTGTGGCGCGGCCTTAATTAAGACCTTACATTTTAATATTATTTACAGGTCTCTAAGTTTTTAAGAAATGAATTTAGTTCATGTATTATTTAATGTTTTTTAACCTTAATGTATTTTTATATAGTAATTTTGTGAGTCTTGACTTAAGTGTGTTTTCGATGTTTCTGTCATCCAAAAGGAGTATAAATTACAACAGTGGATAGCTCAGTCCACATAGTGACTAGGTGATGGGCTGGATCACTGAGGAATTAGAGTTTGATTCCTTATATAAGAAACAAATTTGTATCTTATACACAGAGTCCAGACCAGCTCTGGGACCCACCCAGCTTCCTATTCCATTTGTATTGGGAAGTATTTCTCAAGGGTTAAAGTAACTTTATCTCTACCTAGAATATCTATTTCTGATGATAATCTATCACACAGCAGTACAGAATACAGCGAACCTGAATCTTCATAGTTTTGAAAGGCTATTGGATGAAGTGAAGATAAGGGTGGTGGTGATGATGATGATGATGATGATGACTGGTAATCTGTTTTAGATATTCGATGGTATGAACCAGCGGTACACAGCTGTTGAGTTAGATCGCCGGGATGATTGTAATGCCATTCAGACTGTACTGGAAGAGATGACTGGAGCACGAACGGTGAGTGTTCTTTACTAGAACACCCTGTGCATCTGGTGTTGGAGTTAATGCCCTCATTTGCAGTCTGCCTCTAGTGGCAGTGATCAAAAAGTTCACTTCTCAATTGAGTCCCCCTGTTAAATTTACTCCACAGCCCTGTGGCTACAATTGATTGTAGGATGATTATTGGGAGGGTGGTCAGCAGAGGGGACATACATCATAATCCTTTCTGGCTCAAGGCCTGAAAGTGCCTCACTCCAGGATTTCTTCTCCCAGACAAAGTACCTGTAAAGTTCTGAAGCATCCTTACATTTACATTTATATTTCACTTCATTGATCCAATCATCTCCCCGTAGGGCTGGATATAAAACATGTCACACATTACAAATTCATGATGACTACACATCATTCATCCTTGGTCCAATAAAATATAAATTCAGGCCTCACACAGATAGCTCAAGTTGTCAGGACAACACACATGGGTCATGGAAAAACCACACACACTGGCAAGCCATATCATCCAGTTACAGTATAAAATATTAAAAATCATAACAAATACAGACGTCATACATACTAATAAACTTGCAACAAGCAAGTCTCGACAGTGTATAATTCACGCACACAGACCATTTATTAACTCTTAACTTTTGAGCCCCTTGCATGCTCGACAAATTCGTCAAAAGAGTAAAATGCGTTAACTTTGCAAATCATTTTTAAAACAAACCTAAATTGCCTTTTATCGTTTTTTAAAACTGTGATATTTGACAGCAGAGTGTTAAATAGCTTGACGCCTGAATAATACACCCCTCTCTGATAGGATGATAAATGTGTTGAAGGTATATGGAGGTGGTTATTCCTTCTGGTACCAATCATATATACAGAGTTACGGGTTTGAAACTTATCCAGATTATTAACAACAAATGTCATCAATAAGACCAAATATACACATGGGATTGCTAGTACAGTGCATACAATCAAGTGCGCACCGCGGCTGCAATTTGCCGTGAGTCATACCACCGCAGAACGGATGCAGTCGCGGGGAGGAGTTGCAACACTCCCCGCGACTCCATCCTTTCTGCGGTGGTATGACTCACGGCAAATTGCAGCCGCGGCGCGCACTTGATTGTACGCACTGTATGTCAAGCTTTTTAAATAGATCTCTACATGTATGAGTTGGGCCCACTCCCATCTTTATTCTTATTATTTTCTTTCTTTCTTTTCTTGAATGACTAACTCTTCAGTGCTAATACAGTTCAGTACATGTATGTTGCCAGTGTATCGTGTCACAAAGACACCATGAATGATGCTATACACATAACAGGTGATACTGTTATGGTTGTGAATGAGAAAATACTATCTTATGTGGTGTAGTAGAAATTTGCCAACATTTTGGAGGAATCTGCTGCCTCTGTGTTCTGGGTAAAAGAATATTTAATTTTTGACTCTGGAGTTAAGGGCAAAATATTGGTAACTTTCTACTAGAATATATGATACCACTTCACAGAAATCATTGACGTTAATGTTTCTGTGAAGTGCTGTAAGGCTGTAAGCCAGGGACCAAAGTTTCATAGGGAGGACAGGAAAAGGTTAATTGGGTTTCAAGCCACTTTTTCTGCTGAGTTCATTCTTTCAGTGAATGTATCAGTTCTTGAAATCCAAACCAGCTACAATACTTGTTTTTGAATTTGGCAAATGATAATTTATTTTTACTGAAATTACAAGCAATGTATATATGTATTTTGAATAAAACTGAAATAGTATAACACCAATTGGGAAATCTTATATCTTATGTAAGCTGTCATTTAAGGCCGCGCCATAGCTCAAGCGGTTAGTTGCTGACTTCCCACTGTGGTGGCTCGGGTTCGATCCCGGGTCTGGTCAAGTGGGATTTGTGGTGGACAAAGTGGCGCTGGGGTGGCTTTTCTCTGAGTACTTTGGTTTCTCCTGCCAGTCTTCATTCCACCAAATTCTCCATCATAAACACGTGGGACAGGCTACCATAGGACAATAAGTGGCCATCATGCCAAGTGGACCCAGTTGGACTCCACCACCCACCAAGCGAAGCTCTCGTTTGTTAACTTACACTGTTCTCATATTGTTTCCAGTCCTACATGTTATCCAGCTCTGTGTAGGCTGACAATGCTATCTCCCATGAATAACACACAAATAGTCAATCATAAATACTTTCCTTTATATGGTATACTATACTTTGCATATCCACATTAAAATATTATTACACTCAGAATAGACATAAGACACTGTAACAAAAGACAACTTGCTCATTTTTAGAGTGCTGCATAACTTACATTCATGCAGCATGTTAACACATGACAGTTCTTGGTATGCTAACCTAAAATTGTGTAATTTCAAACTTCCATCTCACTGTTATGTTACATGGATGTGTGATGTAGGAAGTGGACAAGTTTTATAGGTGTAGGAACCAGACATAAAGATTAATGTATTGTCATTATTTTTCAGGTTCCCCGTATCTTTGTCGGAGGGGAATGCCTAGGAGGCTGCTCCGATGTGAAGAAACTTTTTGAGTCAGGAAAGCTTGCAGAAATAGTTGAAGCAAAGTAAACACACAGTATGATAACTGCTGTGGAACATCATACATTTATTCATGTTGCTTAAACAAGAAATGAAATAAATATGTGGGTTAATTCTTTTTAGCATATTTTAAAAGGATATTGTCACATTTCAGGTTGGACATTAATTGTATATGTGTATGAATGTGAATGTTAATAAAGACATCAGTATTGAGTCAGTGATTTTGTTTAAGAAATAAAGTGCTTTTGAAGACTTGAATGAGAAACATAGTCATCATCAAACATCTCATCTGAATCATATAAATTTAAGAATTTTGTGTAAAGGTTATGACTTCTGTAATCTACTGTCAGGGGCTAAAGCACTGGAAAAGTTTCCTTAGAATTTGATACAGGAGACTTTTACTAAAAATCTTAAGCAGTTCTGATTTTCAACATCATAGATCCATAATAATGCTTGGTTTACATGAGACAATGAATGGATGTTTGCATGTACACCATAAACTGTTTCACACATTCTGTTGAAATTCAAAATGGGAGGTAAGAGGGAAAAACATAAAATTATCTTTGGGCTTAATGAATTGAGCACCATGCCATGAAGAAGCATAGGGGAGTGGAGGTATAGCTCCACCATTCTTGATCTTCGGTACTAGATGCCCAGTGGTCAGCTTCGCACCCAAGTCGCTTTACATTGGGGAAAGAGTCCCCGGTTCCCATTGGATAGGAGGCTGGGTGGGTCCCCAAAGCTGGTCTGGACACTGGAGTGGAGAAAAATCTCTTGTCCCCTGCCCACCAGGCATTGAACCTCAGCCATGAAGCCCATAGCCCTGTGGGATGTCATTGTATGTAGAGCCAGCCACTTATTAAACTGATATATAAATATTTATTATAGTTGCACAGAATATACACATGACTGAAGAAATGAAGGTCGCTGGCTGAAGACTAATAACACTACTACTGCTTTCCATACCCACACATTTCAAAGTCAAGTCACATTGTGACTGACAGTCAGTCAGTAAATCTTGGTGTTGAGCCTCATCTGGGTCTCATGACCAGATATTTATTACCATTTGGCAGTTACGTTCTTGTTTCTGTGGGGTGCCCTCTCTGACAAGAGGATGGGTTTGTCTTTTGTATATATGCTGCTGCCCCTTGCCAGCGCAGTCTTTCTTGGGTCTGAGTCCCTTGGGACTCGTGGCCATATTTTACTGTTTCAGATTTGAGACTTCCCTTTTCGTCATCTCCTACGACTCGCAGGGTCATGGTGGAGGTATTCGACCCTGCCACCACATGGGTAACCCAACCCACACGGTTTTTTTTAGCCTGAGTCTCATTTTATGACTGACGGTCAGTCAGCCTACTGTTGTCATGTATTGTTATAGGCTTTACCTAGCAACAGCTGTTTACTCAGCCGTTGCTTAGCAGTGAATGGTTCCTAGCCTGTGATTGGCTAGCGCTTGATTCACTTTGGGTGGTTCCCACATCCCACTGCTGTACTGACTGAGCTGTCTTGGCTTCCATGCAACATGGGAGAGTGTCACTAAAAGGTGGTGGGTAATTCTGATTTTCAGCCATACTGAATCATAAGAAAGCCTGGTTTGCATAGGGCTACAAATGGATTCTTCCATATATCTGAGTTCTCCACTCTTTCCAGTCTTGTTCAGTACTATTCCAAGTTAAAATAGATACCCATCCCCTGCTGTGACAGCAAGAGATTTAAAATCCATAAACCAGGATGATAACAGTCTCCCAAACTGCATGTATGACATTCCAGAAGAAGTGTGTTCCTCCAGAGGAGGCTGCTGTTTCATTTACATTTTGATAGGACGTAGCCCACGCTAAATATTTAGCTGTGACAGCTGCAAAAGAAACTTGAATTGGATGAAAGTAAAACACACTATGAGCCGCTATAAAAAAAATACTGATAATACATGACTAGATGAACATAAGATTACCACTTTGGAAGAACATGATGCCCTGAAGATTGTGGCAGCACATTCCTCTGAAATGTCTGTAAACATCTACCAGACTAAATGTCGTGACTTTCTAGAAGAATGTAATGTTAATGGTCATTGCCATGATAATTTCAAATCTAACATACAGCAATATTACTGTCCTTAAAAACGAGGATCATGATGCAAGATTTGAGGTTTTCATGCCAGTGACTGTGCAGAGTTCTTTCTTTTGGGATTTGCCACTGTGTAGTCTGGTAAATTGTTGCCAGTATTTCAGAGGTACCTGCTGCCTCCACTTTCAGGGTGTCTTCAGGTTATACACCCTGAAAATGAGGCAGCTGTTTCCTCCAAAACATTAATAATCTACCAGACTACATAGTTTCAGACCCTACAAAATTACAGGATCGCACTGCTTACACAAAACTCTATATATGAGTTGGTAGGTTTGTTGTGTGCAAACAGGGACATAGCCACATAATCTGTCCTTAGTCTCTATATTTGTAGCACCATTTGAACTTATTTTATACACAACTGAACTTTGAGTTTCTCTGGTGCTGGAATTGTTCATTCTAGGTGGTGAATGTACAGGCCATTCTTTGAAGCAACACTGCCATATTGGCATGGCATTCAGTGAAGAAACTTCTAGAATTTATGCTGCAGAAGAATGTTAACAGTATTATGATTAATGTCAGGGTGACTATGTAGCAAATATGGTAATGGCAAAGTAGATTCAATGAAGTGGCATGGACTGTTTCATTTTGTGTATTTCATGTCACAGCAGATTTATTTGCCAGAAGTTGTGAAGTTAAATTTACCCATTTTGCATTCCATGAAGACTAATGGGGAAGTGGAAGTATTGAACAATTCCTACCATTGGCTCTACTTGAAGGTAAGTGATCAGTGTCATGACCCAACCACTTCACCCCTGGAGGAATGTTCTTTGCATCTACTAGATGGCTGGTCCCATGGCCAGTCAGGTTACATTAACGTCAGGAGGCATGCTCAATTGCCAGTCTGTAACTGGAGACAACTAACCCAGCTTTTTACTATCAGAGGAAGTACTGTTAGATGTTCTGATCTCGTAAGTATGGCTGATAAGAGATGACATGCAGTACTGCCAATGTAAATTCATTCATCAGTAATCTGTCAAGATGACAGGTCCAGTCTCTTCCAAAACAGTTCCTCCACTTGATGCGATCTAGAGCTTTCTCCTTCAAATGAAAATATCCTCTTCTGTCCCCAAGGTCATCCAGCATCGTCTTGCGTCTTCTTCCTCGTCTTCTGGTCACTTTTATCTGACCCTTTATCTTTCCTTCAATAGCTTCTTTTAGAAGGCAGTTACCGCGTAAGATATGACCAATCCAATTAGCCTTCCATTTTCTTATTTCATGTAGGATATTCCTCTGCTCACTGACTCTAAATAACACTTCTTCATTTCTCAGCCAATGTAAAATGTGAAGATAAATCTATATGACATTTTTGTATCAAAATTAAATTTATTTGCTTCAATGGGATCAATTAGTGTGGGCAACAGTGACTAACAATTGAGTGGTTAGCACTTCTGCTACATATTTGGAAGGTTTGGCTTTAAATCTCCACCCAGAAGATAACAATCCTGATGGGATTTTCACATCTTTCATCAGTCCCTTCATGAAAATTCTGGATTAGCCACAACCACCTCACATCATTTCCAACTTATTATTCAGTATTTCTTTCATTTGATGCTACACAGTTTGGGCTTGACAGTACTAATCTTATATAAATAAAAATGTAAGTAAGTAATACAAACAGGAAATACACAGGCCTATAGTGCCTACATAAGAGCCTTACTCTAAAATATTTGTTAAGTTGGTACATAAGTAATCTGTACTCCAAAGTGAACATGATTGAAATATAATTTATTACATTTTCTTCTTAAAGTTATTCTTGTGTGTGTATGTATGTATAATATTTGACATGACAAGCATTAACTTTGGTTACTTTTCTGACTGGAGAGAATGACCCCAGAGTTCAGTTCCTAACTGGAGCATGGGATATTGTAACGTGTTTGGAGTAGGCACGTCCATGATAACGAATACATGGAAATTGCGGAGTTCCCACAGCGACAAATCGTAGCAACGAATTGTCGTCGAGTAACAACGGATGAGACGAAACATGTTAGTGTATTCTATAAGGAGCGTTCCCGAAGCATTTTCTTCTTAAAGTTATTCTTGTTTATGTATGTATAATATTTGACATGATAAACATTAACTTTTGTTACTTTTCTGACTGGAGAGAAAGACCCCAGAGTTCAGTTCCTAACTGAAGCATGGGATATCTTCTTTAGCATTGTTGTGTAGCTAACAGTTGCACTTTGTACTTGTACAAGTTCAGTTAGTTCTGTTCAAATTAACATGTGTTAGTCTCATGCCTTTTGTTAAATGTCTGAATCAGACAGCTTCTGTAAGACAAGTGAGGTTAGTTATAATTTGTTCCACCTATAATGCTGCTGCATTTGCATCCAAATTCAGGCCACTATAATGCAACTATCTTTCACATGTATTGTTCTCTACCTCCAGAAGTAAGAGGGAGACAGTACTACACATATATTAATGAAATAATATTAAAGAAAACACTGGTACTATATAAGTTCAAAAAAGCTTTGAAAAATTACCTACTTGATCATTTTTTTATAAAATGGATGAGTTTCGTTTGTGTGAGACAAACACTAATCAATTATAATCACATAATTAATGAATAATCAGTTTTTGGAATCCCTACTGCGCAGTTTTCCTTTCTTTTTTCCAGCAACCAAGATAACAGTCGGCGATGTACCCGAATGGGCTATTCTGGAGAGACTGCAGATGCCAAGAAGCTGCACCAGGAAGGGAGAACAGATGTAATGAGATGTTGCAGTGTAGAGTCTACAGTGAAACATTATACCAGTGCTATCACCAAATTCACCAATATTATCTCAAATGCTGTGTCATAGCTTAAGTGGTTAATCGCTGGCTTCCCACTGCTGCAGTCTAGTCAAGTGGGATTTGTGATGGACAAAGTGGCGCTGGGGCAGGTTTTCCCCGAGTACTTCGGTTTCCCCTGCCAATCCTCATTCCAACAAATTCTCCGTAAGCATTATCACCAGTACAGGTACAATAGGATATATGGAAGCCGATGTGCTGAGGGGACCTAATATGTATTCCCCCCCACACTATACGAACTCTTAACTATTGTAATCTGCTGTAATCTATTGTAAACAGTTGTAAGTATTGTAACTTTACTCTCTTATTTANAGGTTTTCCCCGAGTACTTCGGTTTCCCCTGCCAATCCTCATTCCAACAAATTCTCCGTAAGCATTATCACCAGTACAGGTACAATAGGATATATGGAAGCCGATGTGCTGAGGGGACCTAATATGTATTCCCCCCCACACTATACGAACTCTTAACTATTGTAATCTGCTGTAATCTATTGTAAACAGTTGTAAGTATTGTAACTTTACTCTCTTATTTAAATCAGCCAATGTACAGTAACTGACTTGTCCTATATCATGTAACAATGATCTATAGAGATGAAATAAATAAATGAATATATCAGAATGCCCCCTCCTTGGTGTCTCCACCTTATCGTGGTGAGGGGGTTTGAGTATGCCAAGGAGCCTGAGAGCTATACCAGCGGTAGCGCAGCTACTGGCAGGGCCTCCCTTCCTGGACAGGTCAAAGGGTAGGCATCAGACAAAGAGAGACACCAAAAACTGATGCCGGAAGCAGCGTCATCAGCAGCGACTTGAAGCACAGAGCAAATGATGCTCGAGATGGTTCAAGTTCGTATAGCAACAGGCGTGACCAGAGTGGTTTGAACGGCTGCTGTACTGCGATGTGGAAAGCAAATGGAAAAACTACCACATTATCACTTTTCCTGGATAGTCTCTTTCCAAAAACAGAAGATCGCATTAAGTGGAGAAACTGTTTTGGAAGAGACTGTGGACCTGTCGTCTGACAGATTACTGATGATGATGATGATATCAGAATGACCAAATAATAAGGGACGAAACAGGCAGGGTACATAGCACTCATACTCGTAGGAAAGAACAGAAATGCATACATGTCAGGAAAACCTAAAGGCAAAGACCACTGGGAAGATATATAGTCACGGAGATCGTATTAAAATGATCCAAAAATTGTTCTGGGAGGGTGTGGGTTGGATTCGTGACATGACTGCGGGCGGCGAGAATAGTGGAACGAATGAATGCGACCATTGCAAGGCAACGGCACGGTAAACACCTCCGCGGCAAGGAAGTGTAGAGCGCTATAGAGCGTGTGACTTACGGACAGAACTATAAGTACTTATGGTTACGAGTTGTAAGTGGTCAACAAATCCAGTTACCAATCAAAGTTCCGTCCCTTGTCTAGGTTACGAAAATCATAACCAACGTCGTGCTCTAGTGAAAACGGCAATGAACCTTCGGATTGTACAAAATGCTCGGATTTTCTTTAACAGTTGAGGAAATATTAGCTTCTCTGGAACAACAAAACTCCGTGGAAGTAACTTCCTTGTACTGCTCTCTATGCCGCCATTCTATTTTCTGTGATCTGCGTTATTTAGATCATTTAGATCTCTGCAGTTTCTCTCCGTAGTGTCGATATAAGTCGATGTGTATTTCACAGGTGGGGGTGGTATTTTGTGCAATTTTGTGCATGTTGTTAACAAACGTTTGTATGCAGGACGGGATGGCATGACGTTTGATATATTTTCGCCCAAATCTAGAGCGATCTGTAGGATCTGTAGAATTCTTGTGGCCGGATCTGAACACGGAACTTGCCGATTCTAACCAAGACAAGGAAGATGACGTGCCCAGGCAATGGCATTTACGTCGTCCAAGGGGAGATAACCACTCTCCTTACTGCAATGAGGAGAGGAGCCCGATGGTCATCACATTCTCATCAGGTTCAAATTATAATTTCCATTGCTTTCTAGCGATGTCCGTTAAAAATGATTTTATGTTTGCGAACAGCATGGAGTGTCTGATGTTTTACCCAGGTTCCAGATAAGTTAACTATATGCGTTATAAAATATTTGGGTGTTATAAGCAGAGAATACCGGCAGAACTCATTCATTTGAAATCTGTTGCTATTAGTTTTGTATGTTCATGTATACATGGTGGCACATGTTCGCCATATTATTAAGGAAACACTTTTGAGAAACTTTTACTGTACGTCTGTGTATTTGCATTACGATCCAATGTAACCTACAGTTTTCACTTGTCGTGTAATCTCATTTAATCTACAGTCACAAGCCTGAAGACAAGCTAATCTGAATTATGCATTGTTACTTGTCACCGTCTTACAAAAATGTACCGTATTCATTTCCCAGAATTTTGTGTTTTTACCAAGATAATGATGAAACTGCGTGTTGCAGTGTGGGGCATCATAAGGTGACCTAACTTCATCTAATCATGTCTAATGTAAGTAAACAAAACCCAACCAGAAAGAAGCACAGTAGTTACATTTTAATTGGTGACCTGGGTAACTTCAGAACTTTATTACCATATTTTCCACAGCATTGGTGGTGCTAACCATAGAAGTTTATTTTTGAGAACAAACCCAAGGGTCTAACCCTAGTAAGTTTTATATATGTATTTTTAAAGCCACGCGCCATAGAGGCAAATTCTGATGTTAGGCTTTGGGTCTTGTAGTTACTATAGGATTCTGACGATGGTGTATGACACAGAGATATTGGGTTTTCGGACTTTATCCATCATCCTGGTTTTTAAGATAACTAATAAAAACATGACGTTTCGGAAACTGGATCTGTTTCCGTCCTCAGGTGAGGGAAAAACACCTATTCTGTTGGGTCCCTTAGAAAGAGCTAGCCTCAATCACTTGTCCAGTGAATGAGGCTAGCTCTTTGTAAGGGAAGTTTCTGAAATGTCGTGTTTTCATTAGTTATCTTAAAAACTAGGACAATGGATAAAGTCCGAAAACCAAATATCTCTGTTTGGGTCTTGTGTTTGCAAACAGACTTGTAAGACTGTCAGCACTAACTTGGTGGGCAGTATGGCAGTAACTTTTGATGTTATTTGGGTCACACACTGATATGTAAATATGAGAAACGCTTACGTGGGAACAAATTCTACCCAGAAGTATGGCATGGTTTGGGATCCATACCACATTCTGTATCTTAATGAAAAGGATTTGTAATAATGTCAATTATTTGCCTTAATTTTACATAGGATGAAGAACAGAATACTCTTATTAGGAACTTCACTGATGTGAAGGATGTCCTAAACCAGATCGGAGATCTTCATGACATGGACCCAAATCATTTCCTTGGTATGTTAGCCACAAATTAATGTAGATGAAGGTGATTTATATTTCTTGAATCTAGTTCTTATTGTTTTCATCTGCAATTGCAGGTCCTTTTCTTGAAGTGATTCGATCGGGAGAGACCACGGGTCCTGTGACAAGCTTGGCTCTTTCTGCAGTGCACAAATTTTTATCATATGGGCTCATCAGTAAGGATCTTGATTTGTACACTAAGATAGATTATAGAACAGGCAGCCAATTTCTACATGCCCTACAAGGGTTCAATTCCCATCTGCTTTATCATTGGTCTGATCTGTAGTCAGAAAAATACCTCCCTCATCCTTATGTTTTTACAGCCCGTATCAAGCGTGACATTCAGCATTCAGCTGCACCATACATAGAAGTTATTTTGGTGTTTTGGCACCCAGTGCAATCCCTGCTGTGCTGCATTTCCAATGTGAAACTCATGATGCATAGTGAACAAGAAATCAATAAGCTGATAGTTTAAAGAAACTAAGATGTAGAAAATGGCTGTTGCTAACCTACAAGTTTGTTCTGTGTTCTTTTGCTTCTTTTGAGTGAAGTGGTCATGGACTCGTCATCTTCAGTTTCCACAGTAATCTGTTCTCACACTTTCCATCTTCCAAATTTTGAGCTTCCACGTTGAACTTAATATGAGTTTTTTAAATTATGTTTCAGTCTTCCAGGTGTTCATTTTCCTTGCAATGACCAGTAAGCATAATATATGATAATCTTTCCTCTTTGCTTAATTCACTTTGACAATACCATCTCTTTCTTCCAGGTTTCCTGTCCTTAAAGAAGTAACACCCATTTCCTTCCAAAATATTTTGTTTCTAACTTGATTTTCCACTGTTGTCTGAGGGCATAAATTATCAAATTCAGTAATCATTGTTTTCTTGTCAGTTTTTTCAGTCAGTGGCCACATTTAATCTCCAAGTAACATGTACACACACAACTATATGTATTTGCCATGTTATTGTGTCTCAGATCCAACACGTAAGTCCGTTCCAGCCACAGTGGAGAACATTGCAGATGCAGTTACACATGTAAAATTTGTTGGCACAGACCAGGCCAGTGATGGGGTGGTGCTGATGAAAATTCTGCAGGTAATTGCATTTAACTTTAAAATTATTATAATTTTGTAATTTACCCCTGAAGGTAAAGTTAAAGTTGTCCCTGTTCTTAGTTACACATCATGTTATGATGGTGTAGGGAATTGAGAGCATATCTCCACACATTCTTAACCTCAGCACTAGATGGAGGTGAGTGGTCAGTTTCACGCCTTTGTCACTTCTCCAGAAGGGAAAGAGAACCCACAACCCATTGGATAGTAGGCTGGTAGAGCCCTAGAGATGATTTTTATGCTGTGCAGAGAAGAATAATTTGTTGCTCATGCTGGGATTTGAACTCTGATTCTTGGGTCGTCCAGCCCACGACCTGGCCTCTATACTGACCGAACTATACCATCTCCTGTTCACCCCCATTACTATCATATATGCTACTGAACACCAAAATGTTCACTTGGTTTATTTAATTTGTTGATGAACATATGTTGTAGTGAATACATAAGTCAGATCTCTTGCAGAACAAATATTTTAGTTTCAATACATGAATCTTGTCTACCTATGAAGGGGAGTTTGATAGGTTTCACTGTTTATTCATTTTTTTGTGGCCCTGGATTGTAACACTGTGTAGTACTGGCAGACCTGAAGATGGAGGCAAGAGATTCCTCCATGTGCGCAGTGCTACATGATGTCACAGTGCAGAATATGACATTCTGCTTTGTTCTACACTTTGGTGCAGGTTCTGCGTGTATTGATGCTGTCCCCTGAAGGAGCCATGCTGACCAATGAGAGTGTGTGCGAGATCATGTTGAGCTTCTTCAGGATTTGTTTTGAATCCAGACTTTCAGGTGAGTTGGAGAACTGTATTGTCATCATGCTCTTATTTCATTTAACAATATCTATCATCTGCTTAGAACATACGAGCAAAGGCTTGCTTCATTACTCTGTGACCAGCCAAGTCTGGTGCAGACTGGAGCCCCTAATTACAAGACATAAGATGTGATATTTTGCTGCACATACTTTAGGGCGGTGGTAGATGAGTCTGGAGCAGTGATGGAAAAATGAATAGCAGGGGAAAACCAAAGAAATTTGGAGAAACACCTTCTTTGGTGACACTTCATCCACCACGAAATGTATGAAGTCATCAGAGTTGAACCTTAGGCGCCATGATGAGAGTCCAACATCTAACTGTCTGAACTGTGACGTGGCCCTGCTTAGGATATGTGTATAGTGTCTCTATTTTTATTTTTTGTAGTTTACTTAATGACACTGCTGGTAGCTTAGTGTGTAGAGTGTTGATTGGTAGGATGGTTAGTGAATTATAAATTTGAGTGGATGTGAAAGGAAGTGGTCATGGCCTAGTTTGAGGTACTAATCTGCCATGTGGTGGGAGAAACTTAGAAAAACCATGAAATTCTGAGAATAGTTGGTATCTGGGCTGAGATTTTAGCCCTGATCTCCCAAATAAGAAAGAGGAGGGCTAACCTCTCGACTTTGAGCTCGGTGGGTAGTGACTTGCCTTTTTGAACCTGTCTGTGCCCTCACAACATGTTTCTTAGATTGTCCCATATTGGCTGTTCTGTGTGTTGATGTGTTTAGAGCTACTGTGTTGGTCTGCAGAACACTGCCTCAAGGACGTAGTGCAGCTACTGTTCTCCCGGCTGCCGCATTTCTGCGAGGATCTGCGTATTCAAGTCAACATTAAGGTATATGACACAGGACAGTAAGGGCAGTATACATTGTGCAAGGTCGAGTTATTTTGCTCTTCTTGAGGTTCAGCATGAAACAAAGTGCGTAATTTAGCATTATCAATTGTATTTATAACTACTGGGTTTATGGACTTTGTCTGATGTCTTATATCTCTAACAGAACACTAATTATTCTGTTAACATTACCCTGATATTTTCTTTTCTCCCCACATTTTAATGGTTGTAAGGGACGTGGGATGTTGCAGGAATCTGTCATTGTTCATATCAGTCATGCGGGTTGTGTGCTCAAAAAAATTTGGGAAGTACTGCTGTATTGTATGTCATATTCTTCATCTGTTATACAAACATGAGTGCAGCAGCAGCAGTTACTGATGTAGAGCCTTACATAACCATTAGAAAGTGACTAGGTTCTGTTTTCAGCATGTGTCACAGTGTAGCAGATGATACTTTGTTGTTAGCAAAATAACATTAGAAATAGTATGTGTTATGTTTTTTGAGAAACTACATACACACACTGGCCTTTCTACCATTTGAACTTACTACAAATCTTCTTTTATTGGACTTTCTTTGCTGTAAAACAATGTATGGGAATGTTATTTATGTGTGAAAATATTTTGTGGTGTTTGGTAATAAATTGTGCAACCTGTAAATGATGGATCCTAAGACCATACAAGATTTTTAGTCTTTGAAGCTGCCTATGTAAGATATGATGCACCTATATTCATATAATAGATTACATATACCTCGCCTTCATTTTCCGTGTAAACATGGAAACGAAAATGGGATCAGTGTAGGAATTTAGGTTCTCACAGCAATGGTTATGAAGAGTTTTAACTTCTGTGAAAGTGGACCGATGTTCAGAGGAACATTTTGCTTCTATCTTCATGGTAAAAGAATAAACCAAGCAAGAAAGCAGCATGAAACAGCCCTCTGCACTCTGCTTGCCACCAGCTTTTATGCTGATTTCTTGCTTGGCTTATTCTTTGACTCTGAGGATGGAGATTAGATGTTCCTCCGACACATCACATGACTTCCAGCGGACTACACCGTCTTATATCCCAGCAAATAGAACCCTTCAAAATGGGATGAAGTTGTCGCTGCTTGTATCTGGTCCACTGTTACTCTAACTTGACTCAAGGCTTCTGTCATTGTTGTTGACAGAAACTGAAGATGAGAACTGGAGGAATGGACTCTTCGAGAGGTAAACGGAAGAGTAAAACTTCACAGCGAGGGAGGTCCACCCGACCAGTGCAGAAACCAGACAACAGCTCTCTGCAGGCTGCTAAAGAGATGGAATCACCCAAAAGTCAGGAGAGCAAGGCAATAGGTGATTGAATGCCCAAAACATCCTCATGTCTGTACCAGCCGGTGCCGTTGTCTTGCTTTTGAAAACCGTGAAGTGGATGACAGACAGACACTGTACGGTTGGTACTGTTTCAGACTGTCTGATGATCTGTTTCGTGGTTCTTCCATGTGCGCTACACACTCCTTCTCTAATAATATTAAGTGAGGATCTCATCATTATATAATTTTCTGTGTTTTTCTGTTACTGTGTTTTGTTTAGATCAGAGTAGTAAACACCTGCAGCCATGGGTACCACTAAGATTTTTTCCAAGGGGGGCTGCCAGAAAATTTGCATACAAACTTATGTTTGAACTGTTTAAAACTACTGATATATTGGGTTTCTGGACTTTATCCATCGTCCTGGATAAAGTCCAGAAACCCAATATATCAGTGTGTTATACACCATCCTCAGAATCCTATAGTAACTACTTGTTTAAAACTAGTTTTACTGATCGCCCTAGATTATAAAGGATATAATAATAACAAGAAGAATCTTAATCTTTGTATTAATATTTGTTATATTTCTTCCCCTTTTCAGGGGCACACAGTAGCGTAGTTGGTTGAGGCACTACACTGCAAGCTGGAAGGTCACGGGTTTGATTCCCAATGAGGTCATTAGATTTTTCAATTGACCTGTCCTTCCAGCCGCATTGTGGGCCTGGGGTTGATTCAGCCTCTAACAGAAATGAGTACCAGGAATCTTCCTGGGGTTATAGGGCAACCAGGACATAAGGCTGACAACCTCACACCATGTGTGAGCTGATCATCTACAAAATGTCAGACATTTGATGTCACAGAACGTTATGGGCCTCCATGCCCTGTTACAGGGATACCTTTACCTTTTTATCTCACTTTTTTTTTTGGTTTTGATTTTTATATTTAAAATTCAGAGGCATATAGGGGACAGATGCCTGACTTGGCATCTCCTGCCAGTGCCCATGGCTACAGCTATAGAAAATTCGTGACATTGAGTAATAAATTATTGATTTTGTATTTCAGTGACAAATGAAGACCTGACAAGTCCGGTTGACGACCTCAGCATTTCGTCAACACTTTGTGCCCCCCGCCTATCAACGACCCCTCTGACACCAGCTGGAAACATCGTAGACATGCAAGGTGCAATCCACCAAGGTACCCTACCGCCAATTGATGATGCTGGACAGATGAGGCAAAATGACGTATCTCCTGAAACAGCTGCAGATGAATCAGAGGCAAGCAGAAAGGCTGAAAATGAAGAAATGTCCCTAGAGTCCACAGGCGCAGAACAACACTCCTCTGTTAATGGAAACGAGGACACCCAGTCTAGTTCTTGTGTTGTTATCAATGTAGACTTGGGGGAAAACTCTGCTTATGAATATGGGGATGGAGACACTTCATCAATATTATCAAGTAAGACTTGTTCTGTAGAGGATGTTAGCTTGACAGGGGTGCAAGAGGAGCTGAAGTCAGTCACACTGCAAGAGGGCTGTGAGGAGAAGGTAACAAATGAAGTGAGACCTGACACTGTACTGGTAGAAGTGAAGGAGGAACCAGAAAATGTGGGAACAGAAGAAAATGTTGCTGCTGTTTCTGTTCCTAAGTTGAGCAATCAGTCGTCCTCTGTCAGCATTGAAGAAGAGGAGGGAACAGCAGGTGTGAAGCAGGCAGAAAGTCAGGACTACATAAATCCAAGAGGGGTGCGGTTTATGAGCCAGGAAATTGGACAAGATGGTGAGTAGGTTGCCTTCCTGTTTGTGTCTAACATTGCAGAAGTTGAAATAAGAATGACTACTCTGATGGTGATGGAAAAGGTTAAGTACCCCACCGTTAAGATGTATGGGGAGTGGAGGTAATGCTCAGCATAGTTTTAATCTTGGTACTAAGTGGAAGTCTGTTGCTCTAACCCTGGGGAAATAGCCCTCTGCTTCTCCTTGGGAAGGATGCTGGGTGGATCCCAGAGCTGGTCTGGATGCTGCAGAGAAGAGAATACTCTCTCATGTTGGAGTCAAACCCTGATTCCTTAGTTTACCAGCCTGTAGTCTCTTTATTATACTGACCCAGCTATCCAAACTCCCTAAGTTTCGATGTAACAGTGTGGAGACCTAGTGGACCCAATCAAAGTGTTTCTGATCTGTGACTGCATAGGGATTTAGAATAACTCAAACAGTGAACTTCATCTGATGTACATCTGACATGTTTGGTTGAGGTGGAGAATATAAGCGATTGGAGCTTTCATGATGAACTGTATGTAAAGAATTCTTGAGCAGTCAGTCATGTCAGTGTGAAGTGAATATCCAGCAGTTCAGAGACTGTCTCCAGGTCCAGGTTGATGACATGGCCATGACACTGATCGCGTCGGCCCCCAAGTTTCACACAGTCTCCTGAATGCTGGATATTTATTCCATACTTGCATGGCTTATCACTTAAGAAGACTTTATTGGAAGAATTTAAGTTCTGTAAGATTTGAAATTTAATACACCAGAATTTTGTCAGTTAGCCAGCATTGTAAGAACTGAATTAGAAGTAAAAATTTCAAGAGAACTGCTCTGTCTCCATTATCAGCCCTGATGATGCAGACTTAGATGTGGCTGTTTACATGTGAAGATTGTAATGTCGGCTAGACTTCTTTTTGTTGTCTGCCTTGTGGAAACTCACTCACTGTATAGCTTTCCCAGTCTGCCAGCCACAGCTGCAGCTACATATCTTTATGTTCAGGTTCACAGCCACTTGTCCCGTATGGTGTGGCATGTGTTCGAGAGCTGTTCAGATTCCTCATCTCGCTGTGCAATCCCCTGGACAAACAGAATACCGAGACAATGATTCACACGGGACTCAGTCTCCTTACTGTGGCCCTGGAGATTGGAGCAGACAGCATAGGAAAATACAACTCTCTACTTGGTCTGGTCAAGGATGAGCTGTGCCGGAACCTGTTCTCAGTAAGTTTGAGTTTGCTTCCAGGGAGGCATGCTGTTGACTGATAACAGAAAGTGAATTTGGTCAGACAGGTAGTAGGTTGGTTAGTTATATTTGTTATGTGTAATCTCTCTGAGCCAGTCATGGTAGCTGAGTGGTCTAAGGTATGTACAGTCTTCACTTGCTTGGAAGCTGGGATTATGGGTTCGAATCCCACACATGGCATTTATGCGTTTATTCTGTGTTTAGGTAGAGGCCTTGCGACGAGCTGATTACCCGTCCATGGAGTCCTGCCATCTGTAAAAAATTGTCATGACACTGAGAAATCAGCCCTATGCTCCAAATGGGAGCAAGAGGAAGGAAAAAATGTTTTCTCTAGGATTGAGGATACATTATCGTACGTTGTTGATGTAGAGCAGTGTTCCGCAACCTTTTTCTACTCGCGGCACACCATGAAGTATCCATGACTCAACACAGCACACCAAAATGTTATTCCCCTCAAAAACCCATATCAGACAATTAATATAAATATGTAATGTGATAAACTTATTACTATAATATTATTATATTGTTCTTTTATTATCATTAAACAGAAATTGAATCGTGCATTTATTAACAATTAATGAACTTTAATTCACTGTAGAGTGTAGAAAATACACTTATGTTACTATTAAAGTAAATAATTCTACTCATGCCTTTAGTGTGATACTTGTGCCTGCTTAGCTGCACACAGGCGACTGATCCATGGTGGAATCGTTGACAGTGCAAGTCTCATTTCTTCATCGGTGGATTTGAGCCGCTCCCTCTTTGATGTCTTAATTTCAGTTAATGTTGAGAAGCCCAGTTCACACAAATATATAGTTGAAAATGGCAATAACACATTAACTGCCATCTCGGAGATAGCCAGGTATTCACTCCTTATTGCCAACCAAAAATGTATCCAAAGGCACTTCGAGAAGTTTTAGTTTCAATGTTCTGTCTGCTTTTAAATCTGCAAGTTCCTCTTGTATATTAATCGGAAGATGTTCTGAATTCACAATGAATGGATGATGAACCCAGTCGAAATCTTGTACAGTCTCTCCAAAATACTTATTGAATTTCTGCTGCAGCATTTCTAAATGTTCTTTAAATTGTATTCCATCACCACTTTATTGCCGTCAGCAAGTGGCTATACAGTCGGGAATGTCTCAAATGACACATCTGTAATTCTCTGTATCCACAAATCCAGCTTATTTACAAATCCTTGTATCTTATCCATATTAGTTAGAATATTTTCGTTCCTACTTTGCATCTTTCTGCTCAGTTCATTCAAGTGTACGAAAATATCGGAAAGATATGCCAACTTACATACCCATTCTTCATCTGCAAATAAATACATACTCATGCCCCTCAACAGTCAAAAATGCATGTACCTCCTCATTAAGTTCAAATATTCGCGTTAACACTTTTCCTCTTAATAACTACCATACTTCTGTATGTAGTAGGAGTGTAGTGTGTTCTGATTCCATTTCCTGACACAAAACAGAAAAAAGCCGCGAATTTAAGGGCCGCGATTTGATGAGGTTCACAACTTTTACTACTTCGTCCAGCACAACTTTCAGAGAAGATGCCAAAGGCTTAGCAACAATGGCTTCATGGTGAATGAGACAATGATCGCATCGTATGTTAGGATTTACTTTGCCTAATTTAGCTACAAATGCTTCAACATGGCCTGTCATAGAAGCGGCTCCGTCTGTACAAACACTAATGCAATCCTTCCATTTTAATTCATTATGTAACACATTCATTAGTGACACGAAATACTTCTTCACCAGTGGCTCGCTCGGGAAGTTCTTTGCAAAAAAAGAAATATGTTGCAATTACATCTTCATCGATGTATCGAATTTAAGCAAGAAGTTGTGCGTGGCTGCTAATATCGATGGACTTGTTGATCTGAAGTGAGAACTTCTGACTGCTGTTAATTTTCACCTTCATAATGGCTTCAATGTCACTGGACATGTCAATAACTTGGCGACTGCTTGTGTCAGCAGAGAGAGGAATTGTTGAAATTTCACTAGCAGCTTCTGAACCCAGGACTATTTTCACCATCTCTTTACAAGCAGGCATTAACAGCGGTACAGCTATTGTGTGTGGTTTCTTGGCCTTTACGATAATTTTGGCTATCTTATAACATGCTTCCTGTACTTTTTCTGATACACGTACTGTCGCGGTAATTAACGTTCTTTGTTTTTTGTTTTGTTCCAACACTTGATGAAAATAATTGACACCTTTGCTTGATAGAGAAGAATGTTTTGTTGACAAATGTTTCAATTTGCTGGGAACCATAGCAGTATTACTGAGTTTTCACCACAAATGATACACTCGGGGATTGGGCATGTTTTATCACCACACCAAAAAAAACCCGTAAGATAAGTAATTATCACTATACTGCTGGTGTACTAATTTTTGTTTCTTTTTTTTCGGGCTCAATGCTTTCACTACTTGCACTCATGGACGAAACACTCCATATAATGAATTTATCCATCTTGAAAAAATAAAGTTGTCTAATAGTAATAGAAAATAGCAAGACTAACTAGCAACCACAATTTTTGAACTACTTCAGAGCACAGCTGGGATAAAACTGAAACACTTGTAAGACGCGGGACCTCTACTCTTCAAACGGAAGATGTGACACATATACAGATGTATTTTTTAAATATTTATAATTTTAAATGAAGTCTAACAATTGGTGAGTGCATCGTTACAGGAAGAAAGTCATAAAGTTGAAGAAGCTCTAACTTCTAACAAACAGGGGCAAATACCAAAACAATGTTATAAAAGACAGGGAAACCCTTGCAAATCCCTGCAGTTTTAGGGAAAAGCATGTACGCAGAACATGCGGCAAGTATATCAAAGAAGCCGCATAGATGTGAGAAAAATAAATCAATAATGAAAACTATGATATAACAACAACTGTGAGTAAATAATTTATGTTTAATTTCTTAGAATACAACATTACTGTACATAAATAATCACAGCATGCAATAAAGAATAAACAAGCATCATTTTATTTAATCAGTGCAGTGGCTGAGAATAAAATACAAGCATGTGAAACGCGGTAACTGGGGTAAAATTAAACAAATAAAATTCCACAATTAATTTCTTACAATAGCTAAAAGTTCGCGTCACACCTTTCACCTTGTGATGGCACACCAGTGTGCTGCGGAACAATGATGTAGAGCATTACATTAACATTAGAAAGTTACTAGATTTTGTCTTCAGCATACTTCTGGCATTCATATGCTAGTTGGATATTCAAACATAAACCTTTGTCTGGAACATAGCTAGTGTAGCACCTTAAATTAACTCATGACTGGTTCTTCCACGTTGCTTTCACTACCAGTTAACGCTGTATAGTCTATGTTACTGACAGCATTGTTAAGTAAAATAAAAATAAATAAGTAACTGGTTGGTTGTGCAGTTTTACTTAATTCACATGGCCAGTTTGTTTAGTAGTTTAATTCAGTGCAGTCTGCAGGTAGTTAAAGTCAGTTTGGGCAGCTTCAGTTCATTTTTGGTTATGTAAGTTTAGTTCACTTAATAATTATGTTCATTTTTTAGTTGTACGGTTTTTGTTTGTTTGGTCAGTTCGTTAATTAGTTCCAGATTAATTTAGTAGTGTTTGTAAACCGGCCACTGGACCTTACTTCTTCTGTTCTCTCTGCAGTTGCTGAACACCGAACGACTGTCAATATTTGCAGCCGCTCTCCAGGTTTCATTTCTTCTGTTCGAGGCCTTGCGGACACACCTTAAATTCCAGCTAGAATTCTATCTCACTAGAGTGATCGATATCATCATCTCAGACTCTCCGAAGATTACCTATGAACAAAAAGAAATAGCTTTAGGTAAGATATATTGCTGTACTTTGCACACAGATACCACACCCCTGCTCTGCTACAGTCTGTTGTCTTTTCTGTCTCTTAGAAAAGCAGAAACCAAGTGGCCGAGGCAAGAAAGGTTGTACAGTCTGTAACTGGGAATGTAATATGTAGGAACAGAAATTGAAACAGTACGAATAAGTATTTAATGTGAGCAGCAGTCATTCTTGGGAACTGGGATATCTCATTTGGTATAGAAACTAGACTAAGGGTTCTATAGCCAAGGAACTGTTCAGTTCCCAGCAGGAGTAAGATATTTTCTCTTCTCCACAGTGTCCAGACCTACACAGGGTTGCACCCATCCTCTTATCCAATGAGTACTGTGGGGCTCATTCCCCAGAAGTAAGCTGGTGGGGTGTGAAGCTGACAGTTCACCTCTGTCTGGAGCTGTGGTTAAGGACGTGTGTCACGTCCACCTTTTTTGTATATCTACATGACATGGAGCTTATTTAAGTACAGTGACAACTTTGCCTTAACAGAATCATTTCTATAGCATTTTGCTTGGCTTTGAGTACACTGTGCAAGTGGAGTTCACTGTAGCCTCTTGTAACACAGGATTTCCTGATGACACATGTTTCATTTAAGCTCTTTCTGTTCATAGACTCAGTGGTACAGCTGTGGAGGATTCCTGGTTTTGTGACTGAACTCTACCTTAATTACGATTGTGACCTCTACTGTCCAAATTTGTTTGAAGACTTGACAAAATTGTTGTCGAAGGTGAGGTGAAACATGTTGGACATTTGTTGTTACTTCTTTTTGTGCATGATTGATTGATATTAGTTTCAAGTGTAAACAAATTTATCTTATAACTGCACCCTCACTCATTCATGTCTGTCTTTGATGCAACTTAAGAGTGTTCACAGTCTGTCTTTGATTTAAAATAACATTAAAATCACATCAGTTGCAACATGTTTCGACCATATATGGCCATCTTCTGGCAGTTGGTCACTTTTCAAAACTATCACACTGCACAGATCTGAAGTCAGTATATTTCCATGCTATTGGATTATCATTGTTCGCACTAAAATATGTTTGTTTGAGAACAGAACTCTCTCTCTTCTTAATAGTATGCATCCTGTTGTGTGCCATAAATAAGGTACATAAAATGTATACAAAAGTGTGTAGTCTACAGAACAATCTTCAATAAGAATTAGATGTAAATTGTTATATGCAATCCAACAACTTAGTCTAGTATCATTCATTCATTCATTTATTCAGAGTTCCATAAATCCTTACATGGTTAAACACCAATGGATATGGAAATAGTCAACATGAGTAAACATCACATACTGCATCACAGTTGTGTAATGTCATACCAGTTAAAAATATTAACAATATACAACATGAACAAAAACCATCATCTATAACAATAAAGCGCTTTCAGCTACCACCCGTAACAAATCCGAAATTTTAATTTTTGTCACAGTTAAAATATTCGTCCAATGAATAAAATGAATTTAAAAATAGGAATCTTTTAACAGCAGACGTAATTTTTTTAATCTTATGAGCTTGGTCTTTTATATTAAGTGGAAGTTTATTAAAAATTTTAATTCGAAAATAATAGGTTCCCTTTTGAAAGACAGTTAAGTTACATGAGGGATAATGGAGGTTATTACTATGTCTTGTGTTGGTTGTATGGATCTCAGAATTAGACAAAAATAGATCTTTGTTTTTGACCACAAATAACAAAATGGAAAAAATGTACTGTAAGAAAAGGGGCAGAATCTTTAATCTCTTAAACAACTCCCTACAAGAATCTCTACTTCTAGAATTGGTGATGACTCTTATTACCCTCTTCTGTAGTCTAAAGATACAGATGCAGACAGGCAAATTACCCCAGAAAATCAGGCCATATATCATAATAGAATGAAAATGTGAAAAATATACTGATCTCATTGATTCTAATGACATACAGGGTTTAATAGCCCTAACTGCATAGAAAGCTGAATGCAGTTTGGACATGAGCCAGTCAATGTGTCCTTTCCATGATAGGGTATTATCAGTCATCAGACCAAGGAACTTAATATCAGAGGTTGTAGCAATTTGACTGTTACTATAAATCAGAGGTATGTCCATTGTATTACTATTCTTGGTTGAGAAATGCCACCCCAGAAAACCAACATGTCACTCTTTGATAGGTTCATAACCTCATTATTAATAGATTTTATTAAATTATCAGCATCCAAGCCCTGTTTCACCAGTCTACAAATTTCAAACTTGTCACTTATCATGTTCTTGACTCTCACTGCACATCCTCTTGCATGGCTGTCTCCAATTAATAACTTAAGCTTTCTTTTCAAAGGAGATAATTTGTTACCGGCTTTCCTGCGTAAGGCACAATCACTGATATGCAGTTTATCACTCTCCGAAAACTCACTTCCATCATTAGAGCCAGTATTAGTTGTACCATTAATGATAGTAGGGATTTTATGTATTGTTTCATCTTTGGCATATGTTGATTTAATGGGTTGAAATGCAGAAAACTGTAGATCAGCTTTCATTGGATAAACAGCCCCTAAATAGTCACTTATAATTCTTACAGATCCCCTCGAATGGGGATCCTTACCGTTGTCCTTAAACGTAACTTTCCATGCTTCAGTAGTCTCACTTTGCCGGCTTCCTAGCTTCTGTATCTGATTTTTCCAATCACCTTGGGAGGAGTCACTTTTATTTTCGTTCTTTTTGCCAAGTCCACCCTTTAAGCTGCTCATTACCTCTAAAACATCACTGAAGATCTCCTCCCTTAGTCTTCTGATGATTTCAGTAGCCGATTCCAATTCACGAATAGCACATTTTAATTCCTGTTTTAAACTTGCACAGCACAAGCATTCATCTCCTAGATTAGCCATCGGAATTCCTGTATTATTTAGCACCACACTTTCACCATCTACCGAATCATCCGTCATGTTGAAGAAGTCATTGTGCACCTGATAGTAACCCAGTATAAGGGTCTAAACATGTAGCGTCAATAAAAACAAATGTTTAAAGGATAGTGTCTACTTTGTTTTAAACACAGAATATTGTTGTGTAGACTGCATACTTTTGTATACATTTTATGTACCTTATCTCTATCTGTTTGTTCTCAAAGAAACATTTTGAAGGAACCATCTGAATTCATTTTCAGGGTCACAGAGTGAGTAGGTAGGTTCCTTCAAAATGTTTGTAAATATCTACCAGACTACATGATGTCACCTGTCAGAAGACAGTAATCCTTATAGTCTCCATCCTGAGAATCTCAGATCTCACAAGTCAGAATTCAGGGAGTTGGTACTGTGACTTTCTCTCTGAATAAAAGTTAGACTCACTATTGGTACAAAAAGGGTTACACTGTTTAAAATATTTAAGTTATCACCTTCCTCTTGTCATACAAAATAATGAGTCACTATGATTTTTTTGCAGAATGTTTTTCCAGTTTCTGGCCTGTACAACACCCATTTGCTGTCACTTGATGCTCTGCTAACCATTATTGACTCCATTGAAGGTCATTGCCACAGTCGCATTCTCAATGAACATCAGGAGGATCGACAAGTAACAGGTAGCTACCTGGCAGCAAATGTTTTTGCTTCCCAAGAATATCAGTGAGCAAACCATGGCATGAAGAAAGCAGTCTTCAGGGATTTGCACCGTGTATATGTGGTGTTAACCGACGTTTCGGAGGAATGTATCGCCTCTATCTTCAGGGTAGAAGAAAAAATATAAGAAATCTGCAAGCGAAGAGACCGTGAGAACCGGTAAAAGCAGACTGTCAGACTTTTACCGGTTCTCACGGTCTCTTCGCTTGCAGATTTCTTATATTTTTTCTTCTACCCTGAAGATGGAGGCGATACGTTCCTCTGAAACGTTGGTTAACACCACATATACATGGTGCCAAATCCCAGAAGACTGCTTTCTTCATAGTCACCGCCGTGAAAGCCTCAAATCTTATAAACCATGGCATGTCAGACTTTGAGGATGCGATGATCTAGGATTTAAGTGCTTTACTTTCAAACAAAAGTGGCTGGATTTGGCATGGATCTTTACATTTTTGTAGTGAAATAAGAAAAATTATGAAATATAGGCTTAGTGCAATAATTCCGTCATCTGCATTCAGTTTTGCTTAATTTTCTTGAAAACTGTTAGACCTATAAAAGAGGTGTATTGGCCTTATGATGTGTGTTTCATTCTTCCCTGTAAATTTCATTTGAAATATTTATCACTGTGATGAATATTTATTGAGTTCCATTGGGTTGTATGCAGAAATGCAATGATGTTCATCTCCAAGTGAAAGAGCTTGTGGTATCCACTGGGTAGGTAGCTGAATGGGCCCCAGGGTTAGTCTGGACATGTTAGTGAAGACAGGTATCTCATCAGCTTGCTGGAAATGAAGTCCTGGTCATAGTATTGATGGTAATACCTTGGCTATTACATAAAGAAGTAGAAAATTATTTTATTTGCATCTGCCAGAATCTAATATAGAAGACTCAGAAATTTTGGACCCTGTCCATTGTCTGTTATTCTAAAATCTACAGAACACAGTGTTTCCGAAACTGGATCTGTGTCTATCCTCAGGTGAGGGGGGTGGCACTCCTATTCTGTTGTGTCCCTAAGAAAGATCTAACCTCAATCACTGGATCAATGACTGAGGTTAGCTCTTTCTAAAGGACCCAACAGAATAGGATTCTACCCATCACCTGAGGGTCACCAATATCTGAAAGGCTATATTCTATAGCTATTAGAGTACTGGACAATGGGCAAAGTCCAAAAATCCAGTAATTTTGAGTGTTATACACCTGAGTCAGAATCCTTTAGAATCTGATGTAGAAGGTATATGATTTGAGGTCTTCATGGTGGTGGAGATTAATACTGTGACCTTCAAGGTTATTGAACCATCTAGTAGAGTATGTGAGTAACAGTGTTTCAGAGGAAAATAGAGTGACCGTCTTCTGAAATGCTGATTTACAAGGTTAACTGTTTAGTGAGAGGCCTGACTGCGAAGATGAATTGAAAGTGTCAAATGCATTTCAGATGGCACTTCAGTGAAGGCATCCTCATCAGAGGCTGTTTCAGATGCTGGAGTGGCAATGGTTCTGCCTGTCAGTGGCCACATTTCACATTCAAGGAGGCAGCGGATCTCTGAGAACATCCCAACCCATGAACAGCTGATGGCCATTAAACACAAGAAGAAGGTGAGTCAGGACTCATGTAAATTTAAGTGTATCAATATGTGATTCAAGGCTTCAGCAAGGTGAATGTACTGGATTATTGTACTGTATAGTTTTGTTGGTGATTACCAAAATTCTGGATGAGCCAGTTTTATTTGTATTAATCACTTCTGGCCTGAAGATGGACGAGCAGCACTGGTAAGCAAACCACAATCTTACATCTCTTAGGTTGATGGTTTTATTGCATTTGTGTACAAATTTATCTGCTGCTGTCACTTAGTAGTTGGGTATTTATTACAAACTGTTTGTATGTATATACACACTCACATACCATGTCTATAAACTGTTTCTTAATTCTATAAAGTGGCGATTCTGTTATCTGAAAATCATTTGAACAATGGAGGCAGAGAAATGTGGTAAATATATACTATTGAAATGATGATGCTATATAGCAGATCTGTGAAACACAAGAACATGAATAAGAGTTGGAAATTATGCAGTTAGAAAAAGACTTAAATCAAACATTTCCAGGTTGATGGTACTTAAAAGTTAGCTGCTAAAAGTTGCAATCTATATTCCCCACAGAATGGGCAAAATACATCGTAAGATGAGGCACCGGCTAAACAATTAATGTCAAAACTATACTACTTCTATACCACAGGCCTCCAAGAAGTTTATCACATGCATACAAGTCTAAAATATACCATTATGTCTCTGGGAATATGCCATAACTTTCATTTTTATAAAAAGTTCATAGTTCAATATTATTTTTTACCATATATTTTATAATGTAATAATTATCAAGTATCCAGCTTCACCATCGCAATTGCAGTTTAGTAGTGTGTGAATATGGTAATCATGTGTTTGCCGGATGATGGCTTTAATAGCCAAAATGTGTAGCTAAACTAATTTTAGCCTTGACCATTGTATTGTCATGTTGCGATGGACTCTAATAGAGAATTTGTTAGATTTTGTTTGAGACTATCATGAATGCTTACTAATTAAGTACATTTTAAAATTATTTATTATGTGTCATGTGAAAAATGACGTGGAGTACTTAGTAAGTCGTTTTGCAAAACTTTTGGACAAGGTTTGTAATCTCATTAAAAGAGGAAGCATGCGTTAACACATATTTTGCGCGATGGATGGATACTCTTACAGAGCACACAGAACCATCCAGTAGACTTCATGCAGCCCATATGCCACCAATTAGACAGCCTTGGATTCAAGAATTGGCATGGAAACTGAAAGATAGTTAAGTGAAAGATGTATGTTGCATGTTTCAGCTTCTGGCAACTGGAACAGAGCACTTCAACTTGAAGGCAAAAAAGGGTGTCGCATTCCTACAGGAGCACCATCTGTTGTCGTCACCACTGGACCCACAAGAAGTGGTGCACTTTCTGCGAGAGAATCCACGCCTCGACAAAAAGATGATCGGAGAGTATATCAGCAACAGGAGCAATTTGCAGGTGCTGGACAGCTTCGTCAAGTGAGTCGTGTGTGAATCAGTGTCTTTTTTGTTAATTTTGTTTGTGAAATGTTGCTACTATCCGTACTGCTCTAATCCTCCTTATCTTTCCAGCCTTATTTATTTTAGTAACTTCGAAGGTTCTGAGCATTACGAAGAAAATTCTTGGACCCAAGGGAGATAGAGTAACAAAGCGCTGTTAAGAAAACTGCATAATGTGACACTTTATAAGTTCTACTCTTCACCAAATAAGGTTGTTCAGTTGAAGCATGTTTGTATGTTTGGCCAAAGTCTGGTGGTGCAGTGGTCCCAGCAGCAGCCCAAGGAGATTTCTGCAGAGGTTCCATCAGCTGCTTTATTACTGGGATGCCTCTTCAATGCCCATAGAGATTATTTCTTCAGTGGGTTTGATAAAAGCAAACCCGTCTTTAGTGTCCTGTAAAACAAATAACCAGCCTTGGATCACAGAATTACAGCACATGTTACATGAACACCATCAACAGTAAAAATAATTTAAATATGTCTATACTATTTTATTACAGGTCCTTTGACTTCACTGACACAAGAATTGATGAAGCCTTGCGGCTCTATCTTGAAACATTCCGTCTGCCTGGCGAGTCACCCCTCATCTCACTTATCATGGAACACTTTGCTGAGCACTGGCATGTGAGTCTCCAGTTTATTATATTGTCACATGATTGAGTGTGACTATAGATGGATGTTTGAATGATGACTTGATTTATTGCATACTTTGATACAGTGCATGACTACACCTTGCATTTCACTGTTACACACATATGCACACTCACATACACCCATGGACACATACACACACTAGTGTCCACAGTCATGTCTTCACTGTCAGTGCTTGGTAGTGGCTTCCAACAGTGGACGTTCCCTTTACTCTCTGTTCCCGTACTTTCCCCGGCCCCAGCTACCAGCATCTCACAGCAACAGCTCACAAGGACTGAACCGCAGCAGTTCTAACTTACTATTCTTATAACATCTCGGCATAGTCTGCGTAGAAAGTCTCTTCTATTATTGCTCTATTCTCTTGCTGTGGGAACATGCTTGTTCGCAGATCTGTTACTTAAGAATGGCTGTTGCATAGTTACTTTTTCGTGGTCATTGTCTACCAGTGGGTCTACATGCCACAATATGTTACACAAAATCCAGGTTATCACCCTGGAGTGGGGTTCATGAACCATGTTACTTGAGATCCTGGTGTAGAAAGGTAAAAATATGAGGATTACTCAAATTAAACCCATTCATGTAGGATTTAAGGATCTCACAGCAGTGTTTATGTAGAGTCCTGTCTTCTTGGATATAATGCTTTGTAGTCCATTGAAAGTCAACTGATATTTTGGAGGAGCATATTGTTCATCTGAAACATCTATTGGCTTTCAGTGGATTACACAGTGTTATAACACAGAAGATGGCACTCTTATTCAGTTCCATTAAGGCAGCTCTGAAGGGCCATAGATTTGCGTTGGATGAAGACAGCAAGGCTGTGATGGTGCTCTAATTCCAGCAGCAGCAGCCCAGGGTCTTTATGGAGGGGATCCATCAGCTAGTGTGTCACTAAGATGCCCGTTGCAGTGCTCATCAGCACTGCTTTTAATGGCCTCTAGTCCTTAATCCAGAAGTCCCCAAACAGCTTTCATGTGAATAAGTGTCATATGTTGTGACATTGCCAGACTTAGGTCCAAAGCAGTGCATGAATTTATGCATAACATGACAGATGACAGCTTTGTTATTGAAATATGTAAAACAATATTGTGCCCATGAAAAGGGCCATTGTTTATCAAAAGTTCAATTTCCATTCTCTGACAAAAATAAGCATATCCAAGCAAAGGGTTGTTTTCTTTCTTTTTCCCGCTGATCCAGATTGGGCCCAATTCATTACCCCTTCCCGTGTTCCTTGCAGTGTGTTCATAACAGCTAATTCTTCTCACTTCAATCCTGAAGATGGAGGCAGTATGTTACTCTGAAATGCTGGTATCTGTTTCTAATACTATTGTATTACAGTCTAGATAACACAGTCTCTGATGCTGCGTTGCCTTTGTTCAGAAACAGAATGGTGAGCCATTTGCCGACGCTGATGCAGCATTTACATTAGCATATGCCGTGATTATGTTGAACGTAGATCAGCATAATTATAATGTAAAGCGGCAGAACAACCCCATGACTGTGGACGAGTTCAAAAGAAACCTGAAGAAGGTGAATGGAGGCCAAGATTTTGATGAGGAACTGCTCGACGAAATTTACAATGGGATCAAGTGAGTAGACAGATTCAGTGTTTAGCATCTCATGCTCATTTACTCCTCCTCCATCATCCTCCTCATATTCTTCCCTGTTTCTTTCAGTATTGTTCCCATTTTATGTGGATCGATAGACGAAAGGTCTCCAGTCTCTGCCCTCATACCACGATCTTTCCAGTTTGATTTCTTGCCAGCTCTCTCTCTCCTGTCTTCCTGATGCCATCAGATACTTGACTGAACTACCTTTTGCTGCATCTTCCATGTATGTGTTTTTTTCTTTTTTAAATCTAATGTCTTTTTAGGTATATTTGTTCTACCCATTCTTTTTACTTGTCTGAACCATTTGCTGTTATTTTGCTTCTAATGATATTAATAGATTTTTAAATCCAACTTCTCTAAAAATTTTGTTTCTAATTCTATCCCTTCTTATTTATCCAAGAAAGTTTGTGAGAACTTTCATATCCATTGCTTGGATTTTACATCTAAGTATTAAGAACAATCACAATGATAAGCAAGGCGTTTGCCGATCTACTTATGTCTCCCTTAGCATTCATATTGGGATTTTGCTGTGTATGAACATGGAAGGTTTTGTTCTGCCGCTTAGGCTTGGGACAATGTTAGTCTGTTGACTGCTTCCAGGACAGATGAGATAGTGATGCCAGCTGAGCAGACTGGGCTAGTAAAGGAGAACTACTTATGGAAGGTGTTGCTGCGTAGAGGGGCTAGCAAAGATGGTGTCTTCATACATGCACCGAACGGTCTCTTTGACCATGACCTCTTCTCTCTAATCTGGGGCCCAACAGTTGCTGCCCTGAGCTTTGTGTTTGACAAGAGTAATGATGCTACCATATATCAGAAAGCTATTTCTGGATTCAGGTGTGTTAAATTTCAGATCCAGGATTTGTTATAATATGGTTACTCGCAGCCCATGTTGATGGGTTCACATGATTTGCACAGAAATTAATTGTATACCAAGAAATGGGATTGATTTTCTGTAGTTACACAGTCTGGTACTGAAAGTCACGTACACTAGGGCTGTAAATTTATGCAGCCCCATAGGGGCAATAGATTTGAACACTATGATGGAGGCTTCGTCTGGTTCCTAGGAGGGGTCAGCGATGTGTTTAGTGAACCAAGTAATGAATCTTAAGGTTCTTTAAAATGCTGAGAATTTTTTTGAATGGTTAAGCAGCAGTTGGCTTCTCAAGATAAACCCAGATATATGGTGTTAGTTTATGGGTCACATACTGTTGTTGGGGTAGTGATGTCTTAGGGTTATGTTTAGGTTGGGAAGACATGGAATATGTAATGAATTTTGGTGGGAATTCTTTCAGAATGTGGCCACTTGCAAGGTGGGAAGTAAACCACAAGATGACATTAGGATTGAACTTAAGGAAATGACATATTTGTTTGACTGTAAGCTGCACTTCCAACACTATACGGCCTTAGAATTAAAAAAAAAGATTCCTTTCTGTGCTAATATGATTGTGTGCAGTAATCAGAACAGCTCGGAGTGAGCAAGTTTTACATTGCTTCATGTAGTTAAGTACGTTACTTAGCATGTGTCAATTTAATTTTATGAATTTAATGAGGGGCTCTAATAACATAAAAAATTAGGTATGATGTGTTTCTGTTAGGACTTTAGTAGTTGGTAATATTGACTTCAGATGAGTTTGTATCAGCGTATTGATTAATTAAAACTAGATGATCATGGCTGCATGCCTCTACTGCATCTACACATTCCAATGATGTTTCTTTTTCTTTAAGAACCACTTATAAGAGGCACTTTGATTTTAAAAGCATCAGTTTTTAGAAAAATTGAGGCATATATTCCAGCAAATTTGATAATTTGTGAGGATAAGTAGACTTGGATCAAAATTCTTCTCACTGGTGGACTTTGGCATTAGTGGTACTGTAGTTTTGGGTTCTTCTACCAGAGTTCTAGTTAGTTAACACACACAGAGGCCTTCATATTTCGAAGGGACTTCCTCAGGACTTCCCAACATTTTACAAAATCTGAAGGTTCATTACCAGGTTCACAAGAGCCCTCCATTGGTCCCTATCCTGAGCCAGATTGATAAGTTTAAAAATTTTTATGGACACAGCCCTTTGTAGGATTAGTTTCAGTAACCTGCCTCATCCCATTTTGAAAAGTTTCTCTTGTGAACCATATATCTTTGGAATTTCTCATGTTGAAGTATGTCTTCATGCTTTTGTATTGAAGTGAATCATACTAACTTGTGATGTTGTGATGCAGGAAGTGTGCAATGATCTCGGCTCACTACGGAATGAGCAGTGATTTTGACAATCTTGTTATATCGCTGTGCAAATTCACGATGCTGCTGAACACTGCTGAGACACCCGACAACCTGACTATTTCATTTGGTTCCAACCCGAAGGCTCAGCTGGCAGCCAAGACTGTATTTAATTTGGCTCATCGCCATGGGGATATCTTGCGGGAGGGGTGGAAGAATGTTCTGGATTGTATGCTGCAGCTCTATCACTGCAAGCTGCTTCCGAAAGTTATGGTCGAGGTGAGAACTGGTTCTTTATGTGAATGTTACTGAGCGCATCAGTTTAAGTAGTAATGCTTCTAACTTATAGCCAGGAGGTGCCTGGGTGAAATCTGGATCAATATCCTGTCTGTCTGCAGTTTTTCCTCAGTCGATCCAGGATAATGCTGGGATAGTATCCCACAATAAGCAATGACTGCCTTTTCCCACATCTTTTCAATTCATCTTCAGTCATTAACCATGTATCATTTGATTCTATATAGCATGACTTACTTACTTACTTACTTACTTACTTACTTACTTACTTACTCATGGAGCTGAGCCCTTCTTGAGGAGCTGCCAATTCTACAGCTACTCAAGAATTTCCCAGCATTTTATGGAACCTGAAGGTTCATTACCATGTTCACAAGAGCCCTCCACTGGTCCCTATCCAGAGCCAGATCTATCCAATCCATACCGTCCCATCCTATTTCTCTAAGATCCCCATTTCTTAGGTTGTTTATCCAAGGAATCCGTCCAGGTCTGAGGCTTTGTGTTCATTTTCATAACAATAATTTTTTACGGTAAGGAGTTGTTAGCCCCACGCCCAACCCCCAAGCTGGAGGGTCACCCCTTGTCGGCTGTGTGCGACTGCTTATTCAATATATTCGCAGCTTCCCTCCAGAACTGGAGAGTGTCTCCTCCATCCGTAACCTGAGGACGTGCCATGCCGTGGTAACGGACCCACCTATGACTTACTGACAGTATTGTAAAACACGAGGGAGAGTCAGTAAGTAGGTCACAAATTGAAGTAAAACAGCTGTAGTGAATGTAATAATTTTCCTGTCAATATCACTAGGTAGCAGCACAGCCCAGCTTCATGACAGTCTGGGTAGCAGATGTGTATACAGATTTTCAGAGGCTGGTTTCAGTAGTCAGAATGGTGACCATGCTTGAGGAGTGTACTACCAGGGACCAACATTCTGTTGTGTCTTTTTTGTGAGCAAAAGGACTCAGTGCAAGGGATATTAATAAAGAAATGCTTCCTGTATACTGTGGGAGGTGTTTGTCTTGTAAAGTGATTCACAAGTGGGTCGAGTTCAAAAGTTGTGGATAATGCCTGACCAGGTGTGAAAGTGGCTGAGACAGTTAAGAGACTTCCATGTTGCAGGCTTTGGCGCACTGGTAAAGTGATGAGATAAATGTATCACTATTGGTAGAGGAAATGCTGAGAAATAAATGTTCTTTCCAGGTTTGAATATCACATGTTATATTTTATATCCATTTGTGAACTATTTATTTTGCTGCTTGTTTGTGTAGGGTGTAGAATAGTTTTATTCTCCACTGATGGGGCATGGGAAGTTTTATGTCTACTTAATTGGGTAAGATAACATATTTTGGCATGTAAGATTTGAGGCTTTCACGGCGGTGACTATGAAGAAAGCAGTCTTCATATTTTGGCATGATGATTATTTAATATTTTGTTTACTCTATATGGTGCAATAGTATTCCTTTTGGATCATACCAACAGTTCAACTGTGGAGTTGGATGGTCATCCATTAAGCTTATTTCATTCAAGTTTTGAGGCTGTCTTATATGACATATTCCACATCCTACAGTCATTTTGTATAAATTTGGATCAATGAAATGCAGTGTAATATACCTACTTTTACTGATCCTTATTGATCTTTTCGTTGTAGGCTGAGGACTTCATTGATCCAAGTGGGAAGATCTCACTAATGAGAGAGGAGACCCCATCTCAGAAGACAGAACCTGGATTACTCAGCTCCATATATTCATACATTGCTTTATCATCAGGTACAGCCATCATCAAACAATACGTTCACATATGATGTGCCCCTCTGTTACAGATATTTGGCCTATGGAAGTTTGCTCATAACAGAAATTTGACCTGTCTCACTCAGTTATCATTGCTCTGTGTATCTCTAGTCTTAATGTTACGACTTTGCCTCAAGAACAGCTCTGAACCTTGTTTTATATAGACATGTGAGTATAATATTTGGTGTGTTTAAAAACACATTGGAATTGACTGTTATGTGCACCTGGAGAGCAATCAAAACATGTGCTGCTTGATTAAACGCAGAATTAGATGTGTTAGACTGTGAAATATGTCACTTGATCATTGGACTGTAAATAGGGAAAACGTTATGTTTCAGAGCCTGCTGCCCAGAAGATGCCATCACCTGAAGACCAGGAACACATTCAGAGGGCACATGCATGTGTCAAAGAATGCCACATTGAGCATCTTATTAACGAGTCAAAATTTCTTCGTTTGGACTCACTGCAAGAATTGGTGAAGGTTTGTTGCCCAGTTTATGCTTACCCATTTGAGTGTCGGTAGTGGGAAACTGAGCATGTTGGCTGGAGAAGTTTGTATTCAGGGGGTGTCCAGTCTGAATCTTGAATGAGATACCAGCTAATATGACAAGTTTTTCACGGCTTTTGTCAGCCCCCCCCAAGCAAATGCCGAGACGGTTAGACCATGACTAGTTCCTTTCACATCCATTTTTTATTCGTGATTCACTGCCTTCCTGTCATTCTGTGCTACATAATCTGAGTCATGACAGTGTCATTAAATAAACTGCTACAAATAAATAAACACTGTGTTGGCAGGCATTGATATTCGCCTCACAGGGACCAGAGAGCCACATTTCCTCAGGAATGTCCTATGATGAAGATGCTACCGTCTTCTTCTTGGAGTTGCTTCTTAAAGTTGTAATTCAGAACAGGTAAAGGCTTTTCACATCTTCTCCATGTGACTCTTCAGTAATAATCATATCTCTCAATGCTCTGCACTTTGAGCTACTGCCAATGTCGTGGGATCTTTTCTTTCTTTGATTCATAATGAAACATAAGTGTGTATGAATTACAAGGAGTGTTTCTTTGGTTCGATAGGGACAGGGTGACTTCAATCTGGCGCAGTGTTCGGGACCATGTCTACTGTCTGGTGATGAGTGCAGCTGCTTGCGACTACCATTTCCTCATGGAGAGGTCAGTGGTTGGACTTCTCCGCCTCGCAATACGCCTCATGAGAAGGGAGGATATGAGCCCAGTGGTGAGTTGTGATGTCCTAGTTCAGAATCTGTGATGCAACAAGAATGGGGAAGAAACATGCTGAGCCATCTTCCTCTCAGTGGACTGACTGAGACAATGGTTACATGTACTGCCAGGCCTTCCACCATCTGGTCTGGCCAACACTTTGATTGTTATGTGTTGTTACAGTGGAACCTCAATTTAATGTACAGCTCATGATGAATGTCTGCCCAAGACTCGCTGCATTCCTTACTTGACTATGAGTATCTTCTCTTATAGTGTGACTGACTTGGTTTTGGTTCAGAAATCCGTCACTTCATCAGCTTCCATTGTCCTCTCGTTAACACTTCACAACTGAACACTAAGTACTAAACTCTGAGCTCTCTTACAAATGACAAATGCTGAATCATGACTCACTCACAACTGAACTGAACTTCCAATTCAGTATTTCTCTCTCTCTCTCTCTCTGTTCTTCAAACTGTCCCCTTATAAAGTCGCTTCATGGACCATGCACCATAGAAAACACAGCCCTGCTACTGTTGTAGTGGCATGTTACAACGCAGTTGCCTAGCAATAGAAGTATTCATTGTTGCATATTGTTCTAGGCTTTACCTAGCAATGGGCTGTTTACCAAGCACTTGTCTCCACAGGAACATGTTTATCGTGCTGTTGCCTAGCAGTGGGTCGATATGTCTATGAATTGTGTTTCAGGTAATGCAGTCACTGCGTATGTTGCTGCTCCTCAAACCTGCAGCATTATTCCGAGTGTCTCGTCAGATAGCTTATGGATTGTATGAGCTTCTGAAGACCAGTGCAGCCAACATTCACTCAGACACAGACTGGTCTATCATTTTTACGTTGTTGGAGTGTGTCGGTGCAGGGGCACATCCTCCCAGAGTTGTTGGTGATAACAGCAGAGGCAGAAGTGATCAAGGTTCGTCACATGACTTATATATCTTGTTCTGGTCATAACCCTTACATCTCTCTCCTTCAGTTTGAAATCTAATGCTTTCCTTAATATCTGTATTCTAGTCATTCTTTTTACATGGCCATACCATTGTAAATATCCCTCGTCTAACTCCATTAAGAAATCCCGAAATCCAACTTCTTCTCTGAAAATTTCATTTTTAATTCTGCCCCGTCTTGTTTCTCACACATTCGTTTCAGAAATTTTATGTGTGTTACTTGGGTTTTGCTTTTGTTTCACTTTTCGTGGGTCCATATTTCAGTGTTATATGTTTAATTTCTTTATTAAAACCGTCACAACACAACTATATTAAGGACAGTGCCAAGTTTGGCTCTGCTACATGTTTCAACTATTAAAAGCCATCATCAGGCAAATAAATGGCTAACATATATACACCACTGAACTGCAGTACTAGTAAAATTGGATACGATAATATTAATTATATTAAAATAGTTTGCATAAAAATACAATAAATTAGACTATATAAAACAAAAGTTATAGTATAAAACGAGAATAAAATTCTTTGAGTTACATCATTGAGTCAGTCGTTGGTTTTTGTAACTTTCTTGTGTTCCCACGGACAAATTGCAGTATTTTATATCAATTAGAACAGTGAAACAGTGTAGCAGTTTCGACACAATTTGGACACAATCTTAATTGAATATCTGTAAGAAAACACCTGAAGATGGCATTTGAGGCCAAAACGTGTAGTGTTAGGGAGTGTATTGAAGTGAAAAATAAAAAGTGTTGCAATTTAGACGGATTATAGACAAATGGACGCTAATCACTGGTGATATTCATATAGAATAGCTAGATGACTGAATGGTAATATAGGGCAGTATGCGTGAGGGCGAAACTTAACAGCTGAAAGGGGGTGTAATCAGTGGACCGCTTTCTGTGCTGCCAGAGTAATATGACGTGGTATGGCACAAAGCAGTCAGGTTATCTGAATGTGTGGCATTTATTTACAAGTAGCAGCAAAGTCAGATGGTGATGTACCCAATGAAGAAGACAGCGGTTTGGGCAATGAACGGGGTTACACATCTGACTCTGAACTGAGCAGGGTACCCACAAGACAACACAGCAGCTTGGCATCTAGGTCGACAAGCCCTGAACTGTCCCCAAACAGCACCGGTGGTTGGATACTGGTGAGTCGTCATATACTTCTTCAAGATTGAGAGAGGGAGGGTTTTAAGAATAAAAACTGCACAAAATGTTATTTATGAAGATTGTTATACTGGTAGAGATTCAGTAGTGTCGAAAAGTCGATAGTAGTGAAAGATTTGAAGCGTTCTGAAGGTTAAGAGCAAACCCAACAAAATATTGAAATCGTTTTTTGTCTTTTGTTCGTTTTAACTCACTTTGAAGTGAAATGCTGGTCTTGGCGCATCTTTTGATAACCTATAGGATGGCAAGGAACATGAGTGAAAGTGGGGGAAGGTACTGGTACAGAAGCTTACATAACAAATGACAAAACTTCCTGTTAAATTCTCAGTGGACATTGAATTAGTATACTTATGTGTTAAGAAACTTCAGACTGATTTTTCTTAAATATTGGTTTCATCAGGTTTTCTCATGTTATGGAGTTGTGATTTGTGTTGAAGCTGGAACAAGTAGATTTTCCATGCCCAAAAGTTACGAGCATCTCATTGATGATGAATGTTGATAAATTAATTCACAAATACATTACTTGTATTTAATTAAGGACATAGAATATTTTGTTTCTGATTGCATAAGTAATTCATCCTTGAAAATGGGGCCAGTGTGGCCACCATTTAAACTGTGGTGAATGTGGGTATTCCTTCATATATGACATGGCGTTACTTATGTGCAAAAACGACTTATGATTCCTCCATAGAAAATTATTGCAGAAAATGTATATATTTTACATATTTTCCACAAAAATATCATCCATGGATTGAAGTAGGTTAATCATTTCTTGTCAGTTTGGGGTGTATTTTAAATTTAAATGTTCATATCAGAGTGATTAGAATATTTGAAGAAAAAAAAGATGTTTTGTAGGTGATTGGCTATTTTTGAAAGCATTAAAATGAAATAATGCAGTTTGAATTGCAGTCATTAAAATAGTATGGTTTCGTGGGAAAAATTTTTCGCATTACAACCATATAAGAATTTTGATGAGATGTTTTGCGAAAAATGTTTATTTGTAAACTTTTGTTGAAACTCATAGATGGGATTTTCTGGGAATATGTTACTATATATACACAGCTGCTGAGCCTGTGTTATTGTGTTGTACGAAAGGAGAGACGGTTAGCACTCCCCTAGACAAGGATGGAATACACACATACTGGTTAAGGCACTGCTGCCTGTCAGCACTTAACCACATTTTTTTTTATACATTCTGAAGTTGTTTATGCATGAAATGAAAAATTTGAGGGTCATTTAAATGTTTAATTTTGTTTAAATTCTGCATTTGTAAGTATAATTACTTACTTACTTATGGTGCTGAGCACTTCTTGAGGAAAAGCCAAATCTGCATCTACCCAAGAATTTCCCTGCATTTTATGGAACCTGAAGGTTCATTACCGTGTTCACAACAGCCCTCCACTGGTCCCTATCCTGAGCCAAATCAATCCAATCCATACCATCCCATCCCATCCTGTCTCTCTAAGATTCATTTTAATATTGTCCACCCACCTCTGCCTTGGTTTTCTCAGTGGTCTCTTTCCTTCTGGCTTTCCCACCAATATCCTATATGCATTCCTTGTCTCCCCCATGTATAAACAAATGAAATATAGGATAGTTATTATTTATTCAGTATCATATTCAGTACCATTAAATGTACATCTATATACAAATAAAATATAAAATATTTCTCTACCCATAATTGTGGGGGCATGCAATGGCATAGTTGGTTGAGGCACTGTGCTACAAGCCGAAAGGTCACAGGTTCAATTCGCAATGAGGTCACTGGATTTTTGAATTGGCCTAGTCCTTCCACCTGCACTGTGGCCCTGGGATTGGCTCTGCCTCCAACAGAAATGAGTATCAGGAATCTTCTTGGGATAAAGGGTGGCCTGCCAGCGTATAAAGCTGACAACCTCACCACCATCTGCGAGCCGATTGTCTAAAAAATGTGGGAGCCTCAACGTCTCACAACGCTATGGCTCTCCATGGTCTGTTATAGGGATAGCTTTACCCTTTTTACCAATAATTTCACTAAATTTTTTCTTCCTCAAAAATTAAGTATCCATTTTAATATTTTTCTTCTACCTCGGTCTTCCAACATGTCACTTTTCAAAGCATTTTTCCATAATAATTGAGTGTCGGTGTATGTTTTCTGAAAATACCTGTGTTCCTGATAAGACTGAAATCTGGTTAGAGTATGTGGGTATGATGCATTATGTAACAGGACAGTGTACTCTTCATCTTTCAGGTTGGCCGTGAGGGTGAAATTCAGCCACTCGCCATCCGTCCGCTACCTGTCAATCAGTTCAGCATAGTGCATGAACGAGAGCTGCTGCCCCATGACCCATATGGTTTGGTGAAGTGTTGTGAAAGCTTAGCATTCCTCATCAGGGATGTTGCCCACATCACACCATACAACTTTGAGAACTGTGTTCAGTGTATTCGGACATTTGTAGAAGCTAGCCTAAATGGAAGTAAGTTTCAAACTGTAACAGAGAACATTGCTGAATTCTCAAAAGTATGGTGCTCTTGGCTCTAATGCCTTGTAGTTCAAAGAGGCTGATGTTTTTTTTTTGGAAAGACGCTAGGCTCTCTCTGATCTACGCAGTGTTACAGCCAACAAGACAGAACATTAAATGTTACAGAGTATATTCTCATATCCTCCTTTGTTTTTTTATCTCTCTCTGTATCTCGTTTCTATGCACAAAATGCGTGAAGTGAACACATGGTAGCCAGATCATTTGTGGTTTTCTGGATTCTGGTGCATGTGCAATATAGAATGTTCCACCAAAATTTTGATGTTCATGCAGTGGTGACTGTGAAGATTACTGCCCTCAGTGATGAGGCTCCATGTAATTTGGTTGATTGTTACCAGTGTTTTGGAGGAACCTGCTGCCTAGGTTGCTGTCATAACCAAGATCAGTTTTATTAGGTTTTCTGTATATGACATACTAACAGACATTATATAGTCATTCCAAGCTAGTCACCACAGTCTCTGTAGACACTCCAAGCCCTGTAATTAATTCACTTAGTGGGGAGTGGAGTCCAACTGGGTCCACTCGGTACGGCGGCCACTGATTGGCGTATTGTAGCCTGCCCTGGGTGATTATTATGATGGAGAATTTGGTGGAATAAAGATTGGTAGGGGAAAACGAAGTACTCGGAGAAAACCCGCCCCAGGACCACTTTGTCCACCACAAATCCCACTTAACTAGACCCGGGATTGAACCCAGCGACTAACCGCTTGAGCTATGGCGCAGCCTTCCAAGCCCTGTTAATCATACCCCTGTAATTACTATCATTTCTTGTATAGGGAAATAAGTAGTTCCAGTAGAGCAAGAATTAATTCAAGGAATGTGCATGTGGAGCTTCAGCAGAAGCAATGTAAGTCAAAGGGTAGCACAGATGGAGAACAGCATGGAAATCAAGTAACCTCAACAGTCTGATTCGTGATTGTTACACGTAATTATTTTGCTATTTGCCCCGTGCTTGCTAAACATCAGTATGGCGCTTATTTAGTTGTTACAGTTAGATATTCACTTAATAGTAACTATGGGATGTAGAAATGTGAAGTGCCGAGTAGTGGACTGTTGCACCAAGTCATCCGTCGTGTATGTTTTCCGGTGTTTTCACTGCTGAGAACAGCGGTTTAAATAAGCTCAGTAGGCAAGACTTGCCCAAAATATCAAGTGAAGAAAGAATTTCTGATTGGGTCTGACAATGAATCATCAATTCAAAGGAGCAGATGTAAATTTCTTATTTTTGGAACAAACTATGTTAGTACATCCCCTCAGATGTGCTGCAGTATAGACCACCAGGATGATCACAAGAAATCTTGTCCATCTGTGTTCTTGACTTTAAGCCCAAAAAGGGCATTTAATCGTTGAAGAACTTACCGAGACGCTAATCCGCATACTTAACTACTTGTGCTACTTTGCTGCACCTGTCGAAAGTGACAGTGGTCCTTGAACATTTGCGTACATTGTGACATGACAGAGTTGAATCTTGTAATCATGCATATGCACCATTGTGTGCGTGGGGTTGGAGCTTGGTGTGCACTGCTGCAATCACAGCAAGTACTCTCCTACTTACACTAATTGTAAATTGATGTTTATCAGGAGATGGTAGAGTATGTCACTGATCATATAGATGCCATTAGAAATATTCTGAAAAAATTGCATAAGTTGCAGGCAGGCCCAGTTGATATCTTGAGCAGAGTGATGAGTGAAGGATATCCAGGGTCTTTTGGTTGCTGTTTTCATGTCTTGACCTGACTTCACTTTCAGATGACAGACGAGGGGTGAAGAAGAGCCCAGGGTCCCACAAGGAAACAAAGACTAGGAAGAAATTGGCAGGAAGAAGAAAGGATGAAAATACCAGGGCACGTAGCCCACAGAATGTATCCAACCCTTATGATGCTGACGAGAGTGACTCAGAAGAACTGCCCGGTGGATACCACCAAGTGACTATACAGGTGGGCAGGATTCGCAGAGCTTTGCACAAAGCAAGACGTGGAGGCTGTGCACACTTCTTCGAGCTTCATGACTTAGAATTAGTGTGGATCTTAGCGAACAAAATTTTGTATTGAGAAGTGTTACAGTAGTGCTGTAGAATATTTCTGAATCACTTTGGCCTCTTAGGGTTTCTGCATGGTGGATGTGTATTAACACAGTGGTTACAATATGAACATGGGGGCAGATCTCTTTCCTGTGGATTTTTGGAAAGTAGTCAGAATTAAAGGAAATTGCTTTTGTCCGTAACGTTGGTTAGTGGTTCCCAAAGTGGGATTACCTAGGGGGCCGCTAAGAAGCAAGGGGGTGGCAGGGAGCCACTGGAAATGGACCCCTCCAAGTCCATTGTTTGCTTATTTACTGTTGAAATGACTGCAGACCAGGCATTGGGAAATTGGAATCACTTCATCAAGCATATCCATCGCATTATGAATTTGCTAACAGTGAAGTTATTATCTTCCTAAGTGGGTTGTGCAAACCACAGGGGGCACTGGGGATGAATTTGTGGAACCGTGGGGCAGTGGCCTAAAAGTGTTTTGGCACCACTGGTCTAGGGAATTTAGTAATTTAGTAGAAATAATTTTAAATGGCTTGAACATCGTAAGCAAATGCCCCACCACCACCACCACAACTGCCGCTGCCGCCAAGAAAAATTGTGGGATTGCCTGTGTGTATGTCCTGCATACTGTAACATAAAAAGCCCATAGGTTGCGTTTGTGCGTTATATATGAGTTTCGGAATAAATGGCAGTTATTTAATTAAAACTGGTTGGTCTTCATGATGGAGACACAATCTGTTTGCTGGGAGTACAGAAACTTAGAATGTTACATATCGATACATTTGACGAGATGCAAAGTAGTGCCTTGCTGTACACTCCCAATGAAGGCAATGCAACTGCTAAGTGCTGTTGTGTTCCAGCTCCTGGACCTGATGCACACGCTACACACCCGCACAGCTCACATATTCCGATGGTGGGCTGAAGAAAATGGAGAGACAGACTTTACGTCCCTGTGGGCTCAGGGCTGGTGTCCGCTGCTGCAGGGCATTGCAAGGCTCTGCTGTGACTCCAGAAGACAGGTATGATGTTAAGATAATGGTCTGCTGTTATGTGATGCCGTGGAGTTTGGTAGGATGACCTGGTGCCACCATCTTCTACCTTGAAGATGGTGGAAAGGATTCTTCTGAAATGCTGGTACTTGTCTACCAAACTACATGGCATCACATCTTAAAAGCTGTAGTCATAATGCTCCCTGCCATGAGAACCTAAATGCTCAGGTAGTATGTTCCAAGGGTAATTTAGATAACACCTGGGCTTTTTTTTTTTTTAATTCGCTTAGTGGTGGGTGGAGTCCAACTGGGTCCACTCGGCATGGCGGCCACTGATTGGCCTATTGTAGTCTGCCCTGGGTGATTATGATGATGGAGAATTTGGTGGAATGAAGATTGGCAGGGGAAACCGAAGTACTCAGAGAAAACCCGCCCCAGCACAACTTTGTCTACCACAAATCCCTCTTGACCAGACCCAGGATTGAACCCGGGCCGCCGCAGTGGGTAGCCAGTGACTAACCACCCTCTGGGCTTAGAATTGAACCAGAGATCTCTGAAATATGAAGCAGGAGTGGTTATCACTACAGAGTGATATTCAGTATAACCTCTTTCACCATTAGTGATCATTGTGTGTTGGCAGTTCTGTTATTCAGCAGACATGTGATTCAGTAATTTGCATTCTTGATTCATATTCAGGAAGTTCTGGGTAAATTCTTGGTTTAGATGTCAGCTATCCTAACATGGTTTTTCCTGAATCCCCCCAAACAAATTCTGGAATAGCACTTTAAAGTAGGCCTTGTCTACTTTGTTGACAATTCATCAAGCTCAGTCATGCCTGTATTTGATACTGCTCGTATATAGTTACTGCAGTAGAGAATTCATTCTTAAATACATCTAGAAACAAACTACACTCGTTTAGGATTTGTCGTTTTTACAGCCTTGGTTATGATGAAATAACACTGTGCAGTCTGTTGAAAGTCACCCAGCGTTTCACAGGAATATGTCACTTCTATCTTCAAGGTTAAAGAGTGAACCAAGCAAGAAACAAACATGAAACAGGCAGAAAGCAAAGCCTCTGTACTATGTAGTCACAGCAGTAGATCCTAAACAAGCATACAGTAAACATCAATATATTTATTCATTCATTCATTCATTCATTCATCAGAAATCTGTCAGATGACAGGTCCACAGTCTTTTCCAAAACAGTTCCTCCAATTAATGCAATCTCAAGCTTTCTCCTTCAAATAAAAATATCCTCTTCTGTCCCCAAAGTCATCCAGCATCTTCTTACGTCTTCTTTCTCGTCTTCTGGTCACTTCTATCTGCCCCTCCAGTTTGTTTTGTCTCCAGAGGAAACCTCTCGCATACATGGCATCTCTGTTTTTGGAAAGAGACTATCCAGGAAAAGTGATAATGTGGTAGTTCCTCCATTTGCTTTCCACATCGCAGTACAACAGCCGTTGTATATATATATAAATNCCCTCCCGAAGTTTGGCACATTCCTCCTGGGACACCCTGTATATAAATAATAGGAGCAGAGGAAGGCAGCAGTACATGACAGTGGAAGATCTGCTGCTTTAGAATGAAAATGTGACATCTGGTATCTGTAGCTGTGTTTTCATAACTTCAAGTTTGCAGTGTGCATGATCAGTGAAATTGTGATATCTTGTTATTCGAGGGCTGTAATGTGTGAGGGCAGATCACAGAGAAGCAAGTGCAGTATGACCAAGTATAAATAATCACTGTATATCCGCACAGAATCTGTAGAAATGAACCTTTTGACAATATACTGTGACCATTTATAAGTTTAGTCAAGCAGGATGTAACATTGTGAAAAGAACAAATAAAAATGACACAATGATGGTGCAGTATGAGATGAGGGGGGGGGGGGGGAGGAGGAGGATGATGATGAGGATGATGATGATGATGAGGAGGAGGAGGAGGAGGAGGAGGATGATGATGATGATGAGGGGGAGGGGGAGGAGGAGGATGATGATGAGGAGGAGGAGGAGGACGATGATGATGACAACAGCAGCAACAATTTCACATTGAAATTGATACAGTAAAGCCATAATGACGCTGCCTGCGATTATGGTAACACAGTGTGCTGATCGAGCACTGGACATGCTTATTACAGGTAGTAGTAATTCTGCCGGTAGGTGGATCTGCCAGCAGTACTCTCTTGTCACCTTTAATCATTTTGATGTATAATGCTTATTTAGAGGAGTAGCCTGAAACCTGTATTTTGTATATATTCTATACTGGATATTACAGTGTTAAGCTGGGATTTTGAATGTGTGGAACCCCGAGTTATAGACTTAATTTGTCTGTGCAGGTACGCATGAGTGCCATCACATATCTCCAGAGGGCATTGCTGGTTCATGACCTGCAGACACTGACAGCGTCCGAGTGGGAATCGTGCTTCAGCAAGGTCCTTTTTCCTCTGTTGTCCAAGCTGCTGGAGCCACTCAGCCCACAGGACCCCACTGGCGTGGAGGAAACGCGCATGAGGGCAGCTACTGTGCTGTCAAAAGTGTTCCTCCATCACCTCACCCCCCTTCTAACCCTACCCACCTTCACAGCCCTCTGGCTCACCATTCTCGACTTCATGGACAGATATATGCATGTGGACAAGAGTGATTTGCTTGTGAGTATTGCTCTTATTGTCTCTTGTAAGTAGGACGAGAAAGTATTGTGATGGTGAAAAATTCAGTCACAAGATTTTGAATGAAAATCTTATTTTTGTAATGGCATCTATCAATATGTATGTGCTGCTTGCTGATACCTGAATGTTTGGATGGATCTTATTCATATTCGGTATTTAAGAGTTTGTCATTGGTCGGTGCCCATTGTCTATGAACATTCAAGCTCTAGAAACAGAATGTTTCAGATGGGCTTCGAAAAACAAAATTGTGATTTTATGTGGGGGGGAAAAAAAAAAACTATAGTTATTTCTATTAAATTCCAGTAATTTATGGGGAACATCTCACTAAATGACACTGAATAGGTGATATTCTTGTGCCACTTGTATGAGAAAGCATGTACAGTGTCTGTGCACCAATTTCTTATTCATTCGTCAGTAATCTGTCAGACGACAGGTCCACAGTCTCTTCCAAAACAGTTCCTCCACTTGATGCGATCTAGAGCTTTCTCCTTCAAATGAAAATATCCTCTTCTGTCCCCAAGGTCATCCAGCATCTTCTTCCTCGTCTTCTTGTTCGCATACATGGTGTCTCTGTTTTTGGAAAGAGACTATCCAGGAAAAGTGATAATGTGGTAGTTTCTCCATTTGCTTTCCACATCACAGTACAACAGGCGTTCAAACCACTCTGGTCATGCCTGTTGCTATATGAACTTAAACCATCTCGAGCACCATTTGCTCTGTGCTTCAAGTCGCTGCTGATGATGATGCTTCCGACATCGGTTTTTGGTTTTTGGTGTTTCTCTTCGTCTGATGCCTACCCTTTGACCTTTCCAGCAAGGAAGGCCCTGCCAGAAGCTACGCTACCACTGGTATAGCTCTCAGGGTCCTTGACATACTCAAACCCCCTCACCACGATTAGGTGGAGACACCAACGAGGGGGCAATTTCTTATATTCGTATTTTATTTAACAATGCTGTCAGTATAGCAGTTGGAATGGCATAATTTGAGGTATTGTCACATCATTTTCCTTGAGGGACTGAGGACATGATTGTATGACTAATGAGTGTGTAAGAATTGGTGGAATGAAAATTGGCAGGGTGAACTGAAGTACTCAGAAGAAACCTGCCCCAATATCAGTTTCTATGGCCTGGAATCAAACCCAGAGTGCCATTGTGGGAAGCCAGTGACTAACAACCAGAGTTGTGGCAGTTGTATGTACATGATGTTCTTATGTATGGTTGCTTGTGTTATGTTTCTTGCAGTATGAAGCAATCCCAGAGTCACTGAAGAACATGCTGTTGGTGATGGATTCAGCTGGAGTGTTTTCCACCCCTGCTGGGTACTCCCAGCTATGGACCATCACCTGGGATCGTATAAACACATTCCTCCCAACACTGAAAGAGGAGCTGTTCAGATCTCATCCTGCTGGTAACACAGCTCTAATTTAGACTTATCAGATAGATAGATAGATAGTAGTAGTAGTAGTAGTGTCAGTTCCTATGATGTACAATTTTTCTTTTCAGTTGAAACGCAAGCAAGATTTGCCACAAAGCCAGAAGATACCAGTGTAGCCAGTCCAGACTTGCAGGTACCAACTGTCACATCTCCGGTACTGAATGAGTCCACTACAGTTGGCGACCCTGCAGTGAGTCGGGTAACAAGCATCATTCTACAGCCCCCTGCAGTGGCTGCAACTCGCAATGTATCGACCCCAATCTTCATGCACCTCGGACAGCAGGTATGCAGTATGAGAGGCCTGTTACTTTGATGTGAAGCCGGGACGCTACATGCTCTGTCAGCATATTTCTGAGTCATGTCTGATGATCTGCCACATGGCAGGTGAACATATGGACAACCCAACTTTGGTTCTGAAGTAACTTCATAGAAATTAGTCTTCTTTTGAAATATTTTATAGTCACAGGAGAATTTCAGACACTTGGATACAAAGTAACCGGCAGTTTACTGTATTTCCGGGTGGAAACTTAACATGACAAACTTAACCTTTAAACGACTAAAGACACCGTATGTCGTCACAGATAGTAAAGGCAGCGGTACGAATGACGCCATATGGTGTCGCACAGTCCGCGTGTGCGGACGTTATTTTAAAATACATGTTTAAGGTAGAAAATAATGTCCTACTTATATAATTTTTGGCCACCATCTGCATGGAGTGTCTGTCTTCCCACCTGCGTCATCTGCTGGAATGTTGCCTTCGTGTGGAATTCTAAAAAAAATCCGGAAGTGCCGAGTCCGATTTCGCACTTCACGCACTTTCTCCGGACGATTTTTCGTTTCCCACGCGAAAAGAACACACGACACCTCAATTGCGAAGTAGAGGAATTCGGCCAGTGATGTGGTTTGGCCTTCTATAATCGAGATATCTCCGATTAAACGGCAGGGGTTCGACTCCTGGTCGCACAGTCCGCGCGTG